AAAGCATAGTTGAAAACAGCTAATGGATGATCGGGTGTACCGGTAGAATTGCTGCTCGCGCCTGCCTTCGCCGCGAATAGCTTTGCGAGACTCCCACGTGCGGCCTGGCCCTAGGCAAGCACCTCCAGTGCATGCATCTTGCATGACGACCGACGCGATTGAAGGTACTTGTATTCCCGTGATCGTCGGGGCGATTTGATAGTATGGTGTTGGGCGAGAAGGTTGTCAGTAGCGGCAAAAGCAAAGCGCGACGGTTTGCCACCCCTTAGGAATCTCGGGGCTAGCGCATCGTTGTTTCGCGGCCCGACAAGAGACGGGACGCGTCGCGTACAGCTGTGCGCCAGTAAGATTGGGATTGGCTACGTGTTCTATCATCAACTTCGGGATGCATAACGCGTTGATTGATCCAGTCAATTCCAGGAGGGGCGAGGAAACGCGAATTTACGCTGGCGCAGTATTTAGGTATGGGATCGGGAGTTTCAGATGCAGGGCGACGGCTATCTGTCGCCTCTGCGATGAGCCCAAACGCATCCTAGCTCCCAGCCCCACCAAATCGTGCATCGCACAGGCCTGCCACTGAGTCCCCCATTGTGTGAGCGGGTACTTCCGCATCATCGCGAACCATCCTCCAGTAGTTTCTCGTGTGGTAGTTATTAGCTACAAGATATTAGATGTTAAGCGTAGTGCACAAGGCCTTTGTAGCGAAATGAAGATTAATTGCTTAAACAAGTGCAGGCTCAGTAGGCTAAAGCCCTTGCCAGAACTTCGACTTGTTTGATCTCTGCTAAAGAGCTCGGTAACGCGGTGCCGTTAATGGGCACCACATTCTGATGTGAGATGGGTGAATCTTGGGTGACCTTCGCGGAGCCAGTATCCCGCACTCTCTACTTCATCATCTCCGCCGTCTCCTACCGGTAGCTTCAAGGGCGGACTCGGGTAGCGCTCGAGAGATCTGTATTGCACCTGAGGCTCCTCATTGTCCAAAGCTCTCCACTTCGATCGTTTCTGCCATCCACTGGCGGGCGCTTCACGTGGGTGCTGGATTATGGGCCGAGCGGACTGGATCGCTCTATAGTGCGGTTCAGGCACCTCGACTATCATATTGCGCAACTGTCTTGACCTCCAGAAGGCATCGAGTAGGGGGAAGGCTGGACCAGTGAGTAGATCGTGGCGATGCCGGTCCCAATAAACAAGCAGGGACATATAGAATTTGCGGAGAATGGGGCAGTATTTGACGATGTTATCGAGAATGGGCTCTAGGTGGTCCATATTGAAGTGGGGTGTGCCATCATCTTTCTCAATACGATGTGCCTCAACCGCCAGTTCCAGAGAAGTGATCGATGCCAATCGATTAAGCGGGATCAGTCTTGGAAGATGAAGAAGCAAGGGCTCGCTCTGGATGCTTATGCAGTTGGCGGAATACAAGACCTCAACACCTTCCATGTACGCCTGCCTGCAAGACAGCAGAAACCCCATAGCGCCAATATCATACACCCCAGAACGCACAGCAGGGTCGTTTGGGTCGCTGCTTCTATGCCGGCCCTCCTCCATGTCCTTTATGCACGAATCGATCCACGGGCCTCTCCAATGCCATGGCATGGATGGCTTCCATAGTGGGTGATTACGTCCGCAAGGGATGCCTCTCCATTGCCATGCGCCTGCTTGCTGTACAAGATCCATGTGGAGCATGCGTTTATCGAAGGCCATGGATAAGATGATGCTTCGGATGTCGTACGGCAGCTGGAAGAAGAGGCATGCTGGTGTATCGATCGAAGTCGGTGTAATCGGTCGTCGCGAAGAAGGTAGAAACGGCGGCTCGTCCGGGGATGGCGGTTTGGGGCTCGATTCGATGCGCAGGTACTTCTTCAACCATGCGCTGAGCCTGGACATGGTTGGGGATGCGAGAAGAGGACGGTCTTGATGGACAGAGAAGAGATCAGGCAATAGGCAGTAAGCTCATACAGAGGTAGCTACCGTCCGCCTGAACGCGTGTGGCACAAGACATGTGGGCGGCGACGCACTGGCGTTATGAAGAAGGCGACCGCTGATTGCGCCTCCGTTCTCGTTTGTCACCCCTGCGTCAACCGCCAAGGAACGGCATTTTGCACATAATGATCTGATGTACAATGCAAGGGGCGTCACGTAGCTGGCGGCGCGCATCGTTCTAGGGAAAAGACTGCCCCTCTCATTCGGGGTTTGGACCGTCTCCAGCCCGAGAGGTCCACGGGTCTAATCTATCTAGCGTGTTTGCCAATACCAATTGCCGCTAGTCTGGATCCACCATCCACAATCTGGTCCAACACCGCGCCGCAAGACACCATCACCGCATGTAAGCAATTTTGCACTTCTTGACAGTTATCTTGGTTAAGTTTTGACGGCGCCAAGGCGGCACGTTCTGCACCTAGATCTGTACTGCCATCAAATAGATCACACTCCAACGCAGTAGTAGTAATCAGGCCACAGGTTCTGGCAGTCATTGCCTACGGCGGGATTCCACTCGTAAAATTGCCTATATGATAGTGTCAGTATGAGCTTCGAGATGATAGAGCTATGGCCAAGAGAAGGAACCGTAGAAAGTGGTTGGAGGCGGAAAGCACTTACGCCAAAGAGATGCCGGCGCCTGTCGCCATCGCGTAGCAAAACTCGTCTGGCTGCTGGAGGTGAAAGCTCACACAATCGCCCGCCATGCCTTCGCGGACAGGTGAAGGTGTCTGCACAGGCTCAGTTGGCTTTGTTGTAGTGGTTGTCGGCTGCGTCGCAGTTGGTTGTATGGTCTCTGTCACTTGCGTCGGCGAAGGCGCGCCTGGAGTACGCGTAGTCGGCGTGCCCGGGCGGCCTATACAGTACCATGCATCTGAAACGATGCCGGCGCAATCGCCGAAAACGGAGGGATTCCACTTCACGAAGTCGGCCTCGCTGAAGCTACCGAACATAAGCGCGATAAGGTCGCACGTGTCGTCGAAGGTTGTCTGATACCATCGCACGCAGTCGTTGGGGTATCCGAGAGGGATTTTGCCCTCCGTCGGTTTGGCCGTCTGATGTGCGGGGAGTGGGAGATCAGCATCCGCGTATGCGCCAACACAGTACCAAGTGTCGAGCCAAAGACCTAGGCAATTGCCATCGAGGGCTGGGTTCCACGACAAGAACTGCTGTTGCGAGAAGTAGCCGTACAACTTCACAATGTCATTGCAATTTTGGTCGGCTTTCGCCTGATGGAACACTTTGCAGTTGGAGGGCATAGGTCCATGCGATGGGATTGGTGCAAAACTCGAATCGGCTGTGGGTAGTGAAACAGGCGTGTAATCGGTGGGCTCAGGAGGCGCGGTGAAGTCTGGCTGGGCCGTTTGCCATATCAGATCCGTGTTACCTGTTTGTCTTTGAACGCCAACACAGACCCAGTAATCGGCGAGAAGCATCTCACAATCGTCCTTAGTCGTGGGGTTCCAGCTCACAAACTCGTCGATGGATTTTAGACCGAACTTATCTACCGTTCGCTGACATGTATCGCCGGGCATAACGCGGTACCATGAGTTGCAAATTTCCGTCTGCCCTGCGAGCGTCTTGGTAGGTGGCCATGCATTGTCGGTACTGGTAGTGGACACGTTCCACGAGGTGACGGGGTGCAAGACAGAATAAGTCGAGTTGTACGAAGTGCTCGTCGTGGCAGGGGTTGACGTGATGGCCGTCTGAGAAGTGATTCCGGAAGACGATGGTTTGGAACCAGAAGTGAACGTGGATGTAGAACGCGAGGATATGGTGGGTCTGGTACTGGTCTTTCCGACGCTCACACAGTAGGCTGAGTCGAGCCAAAAGTTGTCGCGACAGTCGGAGGAAACCGCGGGGTTCCACTCAAGGAACTGCTCCGTGGATATACCGTAGGTTTGAGACACGATCTGACAATTCTCGTCCTTGACCACGGTATGCCATCCGTTGCAGTTCTCGGGCTGGCCCGGGTGTACTGGACCTGTAGGACTGGAGTCTTGGGCACCAACGACTGTGAGAAGTAGACCCACAGCCAGGCAACGCGTTTGTTGGCGCAGTAAGCGCATGGTCGAAATTGACACAGCAGCTAGGCGAGCGGCTGGCTATGGAAGTAGTCGAGAGACCAGTGTGTACAACCAGTCCTCGAAGACTGGAGTTTGACGCAAGAGGATCGCGAACTGCTCTGGTTCTGCTATGAATGTACGAAAACGAATGAACACGCCCTGAAGTCCAGGTGTAAGGGGATGTTCAGCGGCCCGAAAACTAGAATGCGATACTTGAGTACCCATTGGGTACAATGCCGAGTTTGTTAAGGCCAGTCGTCCATCATTCTAGTCGTCTGACTGATGCAAGGGTGTATGTCTCGGCAGGGTCTTTCAGGTAGAGCGGCGATGATGCTCGCTTCGTAGCCGCATGTCGTAGTGCTTGATGGTGCAACTGACAGATTTAGCCTATCGGCGCAGATTCTTAGTGGGGCTAAGGCGGCTAAGCTCACCTGCAGGAACCCGCCGTGCCGCCACGGACAAATTTTTACCATCCTCTTTCTTCACCACGTTACATTGCATGCCTTAGCCTCAGGATTCTGCCAAGCATAGCTCATATTGGATGCAAGCAGGGCGTAATCGATAGGGGTCGGGACCTGCCCTTTTCGATTACCACAACCGGGACAAGTGGGGACGTATGATTGAAGCTAACATAGTACGCTGGCTGGATGGCCATCAGGGCGGGAACTGCATAACGGCAAAATCTATTGGCGCATTCTATCGAAAAAGACTGTAAGCGAAAGGTCCCAACGGAGATGGGCATCTACCTACGTAGGCAGCCTTGCGCAAGGCCGAGACCAGGGTCGCCTGGGGCTTGAGTCGAGGTATGTTGTGTGCTGTTCACTCGGCGCAATTAATCTTTGGATACTTGTTACCGCTGCTTGGTTGTTGGATATCACCAATTCGCCCTCTCGAGCGGAAGTCACTCGTTAGCTCATTCACTCATACACTCGTTCACCAACACACTCGTTCAACATGCATCTTTTTTCCATTCTCATCTTCTTGCTCGCTAGCGCCGAAGGAGTTTTTGGTGGCAGCAGGTTTTGGGAGGCCAAAGCACCCAACAAACGTACAAACCCTCGCCCTGACTACTCGGCCATCGAAACCATCAACGCGACTTCGTCACTCAGCAAGCGCGCTTTTTCCATTGAGAGCCGGCCAGGTCAAGCAGGTTTACCGCGCATCTGGCCAAAAAAGACGATCAGATACTGCTTCGAAAACTCGCAGGGTCACGATAAACTCGAGGGCCTCTTCAGATCGGCTATAGAACTGTGGGCTCAGCTTAACAGACATGGCTTCAAGTACGAGCCAGTCTCAGATGCAGAATGCGAGTCTGAAGAGAAGCGCGACTCCGTATTGCATATCCATTACAACGACTACGGCAGGTTTTCCACGACGCTGGGCATTCCCGTGGTCGACGCACAGGAGATCGTGGATAACCCTGCGACAGCCATCCGTGGGCCGACCATGCATCTTTCTGACAAGGAAGGTGTCGGTCAAGAAAGTACCGAAGCCAATATTGCCCACGAGTTAGGTCACGCCTGGGGCCTTGCCCACGAGCACCAAAACCCGCATCACTGGGAACAGAGCGACATGCTGGGGCCCTCTTGGAACATTCCTCTGCACAATGACAAAGTGTACTTCGAGACATCCGACTTCAATTGTGAAAACCTCGAAGACCATTACAAGATTCACAAATCAGTACAGGTTCTCATTGATACGGAAACAGACGAAGAAGAGCGGACAGTCTTGCAGGATGAATACAACAACCTTTGCGTGCGGCGCGTTATTGCCAACAAATATGGTTTTAGCGCTGCTGATTGGCTTCCCGTCGACAACACTGCGAACATGTTTCGAGACGCGCAGTTTGACCCAGATTCGATCATGTTGTATCCTTCTCGCGCTGGCGGCGGCGACAATTTCGAAAACCGACGTATCATCATGAGATACAAAAAGGACTCGATCCCAGGCCTGGGAGACGAGCGACTCATCCCGACTCGACAACGCCCCAGCAACATGGATGTCGATCGCATAGCCATCCTCTATGGCAACCCCGCGCCTTCCACCCTGGAGGTGCCGCACAATTCAGGATCAAGCGGGTTCCATAGCAGACTCGAGGAGGCGAGGAGCAGCGGAGAATTTTCCCGCGCCGGCGACACCAGAGATAATGCATGTGGATGAGCACCGCGTGTGCAAGTACCCGCCAAGTCCGTTTGCGGATCATTTCAGCAGGATTTCGTTATAATTAATGAGCACTCTTAGCTACAATCATATACATGTCATCATATCCGTGTAAGCGTCGCGTGAAACTGGTTGTTGATCTTGTCAAGGTAATAGATGAGGGCAAACGGCCACCCACAGGCCGTGCACTGGTCACGAACTTCACGCGGACGGGCAAGTATCCTTGCCATAGACCAGAATGTGAATTGCGATTACGATTGATTCATAGCTATGAACGTCACTCAAAACGGATGAATCCAAATATGTACCGTGAACATGCCCAGGTTGCTAGCTACAGCTCGGGTCTCGCACCGCATTCAAAGACCTGTCTTGGTTTGTACGTAGGCATTGGTCGCCTCTGGATGTTTTTGCCGAGAGCGTTTGTAAGCGTACCATCGTCGAGGTCTATAGCCCAGACCATAGTCCTGCAGTCTCGTTAGCCAATGGTCTCAGGTTCGCGATGCATCAAGAACAATATCGTCGCACTTACCCTCCCAAGCAATGCTGATGAGCGAAATCGACCTTTGTTCCCAAGGTTTGGGTGTCGTCGAAAGATACCCACTGATTAGAGTCCCAAGTGACAATCTTGACAGCCGCTTCTTCATCGTGGGTGACAGTGGCGCCATTGGCGATGACCTCGTTGATTTCCGCCGCCGACAACACGCCGGGCGTGCCCGTGCATGCGCCGCCGTTAGCGCCATCGCTAAACTCACAGCCAGCCGTCATGCATCCAGGGTCCTTCATCGTGAAGCTGCGACCATAGAACCCAAGACCCAATACAACACGCTCTGGGTTGATGTTGTTGCGCCACAGGAGCTCGAGACCCATCTTGATCTCGGTCAAGTTCGTATGAGCCTGGGCAATAGGGCCGAGACTGTCGATGCTGGCGTCCCAGACACCATGGATGTCGTACGTCATCATGTTGAACCAGTCGAGATATGGCTCCATTCCTTGGAGATTGAAGCCGCGGAGATACCAGTAAGAGGCAGGCTATTGGGGTCAGTCGCGATGGGCCAGCAAGAAGTTTGTCAGGGACTGGTTGCTACTCACAAGAGTTAAGCTGATGCCGTATTCCCGACCAGATGAGTTCAAGCGCTCGCGAAGCCTCCGCAGAAGATTGACGTAGTTGTCGAAGTCTTCGGGTATGCCGCCTCGATCCTCAGCCACAGGACTAAAGCGCGTGTGTCAGCTTAGCCAGAAATGATGAGGGTTTGTCACTTACTACTCCCAGTCGAGATCAACGCCATCTAGGTTATATCGCCTCAAGAAAGTCAACAGTGAATCGAAGAACTTGTCTTGGTTTGCTTCGCTGGCGGCCATGTCGGAGAAGGCGGTCCGGTACGGGCCCGGATCGTTCATAGCCCAGCCTCCAACAGCAATCCAGATCTTGAGGTTCGGCTGCCTCTCCTTGAGGGCCGCGACACGACCGTATCGTGATCCGGTACCTGGATCCATGTCCTCGATGTGGAACGTTTTGGGGTTGATGAGAGCAAAGGCAAAGTTGATGTGCGTCCAGTGACCCAAAGGGATGTCCTCAGGCTCCATGTTACCACAGGGACGCTGGAAATTCCAGCCCTCGTAGTAGCCGATGGTACGCGCGTCGGCACTCCGCTGCGAGAGGTCGCACTGAGGATGCGGCACAGGGTTTGGGCCGCAGAAGTCAACCGTCGTGCCACAGAAGCCATGCTCGCTACAGCACACGTTGAGTGGGCATGTGGTGAGGTTCGCATACTGGAGACCCCATGTGCCAGGATCGCATTCAGATTTACGACTGCAATCGCTGGTGCATTTGTCGCCGCAGAAGACGGGACCAAAGCCACAAGCACCGGTACCGGTGTCATCGCTAACGACTATCATTAACATCATGGCCGATTATACACGTTCATATCGACGACTTACAGAGGTCCGCAGCATCCAAGGTCACATGACTTAGTTGCAGTGCATGTGTAGTCGGGCTTCTCGTTTGCTTTGATAAGCATCTCTCTAGCCTCAGGCGTGGTTTCCTGGCCAGCAACGTTCTCCAAGAGTAGCCTGACTTCCGCCTGTCCGCCAAAAGAACCCAGGTCAAGTGCTTCCGCAGTCAGAAGGAGGCCCAGGCTGAGGGCCAGGCCCTTGAATGAGACACCTCTGGATGTCATGATGATGTGGAATGAGTATTTGTACAACAAGCTTCAGGAAACAAGAAAAGTGCGATCAATGTCCCCAGCGAGAACGACAGCCTGACGAAGAGCGTAGTGATACCGAGTGGGACGAGACATACACGACCGGAAGATGGTCGAGCGGCGCGCAACGCCAATTCCCGTCCCGTACCTGGCTCACAGCTGCGGGCATCAGGGGTGGCCTGGCAAACATGCCGCCAGGCCCGTAGGCGAGCAAGGCGAAATCAATGAGTAATTCATTTGCTGGTAGTGTCAGCTCCGGCGCGATGTATGTGCCAAGATGAACGAAGGATGAGGTTGAGTTTGTCAAGGTGGGTCAACGCGAGGACCCTGCCGAGCCGGGACGCCACTAAATTCCGCCCTGCATTTAGCCGCCGAGCACCTCTATCGTTTTAACCTCAATCAGCAACCCCCGACACTATCTCGTTGATGCAGGTACGCCCGGCAGCATGCGCCTAGGTTGTGAACGCAAATGAGCTGGCTCGTGAGTGGTGGATTCGTACGTACCTGGATGGGATTCTACCATTGTCAGGCCGATACGCTGACGGTACCTGGGTAGGTCTCCACCAAAGACACTTTGTCTTGGGTAGCATCGCGTACATACAATGTTGCCTGCCTCATCCGAACTAGGCTTTTCGCCCCCATATCAGACGGGAACATTCATCTAGACCTCGCAACCGAAATGTCACCCTGCAGACTACCGGGGTGAGTTCATTGACGATATCCAAAGTCCGGTCTTGGCTGAGAATCCTGGTGCTGCGTTGAGGCGGCGAAGGGACATCTCGACATCTGGACGTCTGATCATCAAACCCCTTTGGCTCATCCTTCTCCCATCTCTTCCGAAGCTCCGCTTGCTTGTCCATAGTCTATGAGCCTAGTTCACACGCTCTCAACGTTGGTCGTTTGCCTTACGCCTCACGCTCATTCTTCATTCATGTCTCTCGTTTAGTCCGGTAACACCAATCGACATGATTATCAAGTTGATCTTGGGCCTCTCGGTCCTGATCAGCTCGACGAATGGCTACGTTCCACACCACGCACACCATGGAAGACATGCCAGAAGTGCGAGACTATATCAACGTTCAGAAGCTGGCTCATCTGTCAACTCGTCCTCCTCGCCGACACCGCCTACTCTTCGCAAGCGGGATGATGATCCAAGCAGTATGGAGTGGATCAAACGCTGGGCAGCCATCGGCGATAGCTACACAGCCGGCATCGGTGCTGGAAGACCTCTCGGCCACAGGATCACCGCGGACGAGGTAGCTATCAGAGTGCCCAGTGGGCTGGAAGAGGTTCGAGACAACTGGAAGTGTTCCAGATATGACATGGCATACCCCAAGGTCATAGAGGCACAGTTTGGTGCCCACGTCGAAAAGGACGGCGGCTTCCAATACCTTGCCTGCAGCGGCGATCGTTCTGAACAGATCTATCAGCAGGCGCAGGCCCTAGAGGGCAAGCTCGACTTTGTCACTTTCACCTCTGGCGGGAACGACCTTTGTCTCGCCAAGATGATTGCAGATTGCATCATGTTGCCCTACGGCAAGACATCCGCCTGCGAAACCGTCATCGCAAAGGCCCAGGAAAATGCTAAGAATATCATCACCGACAACATCTTTCAGATTCTGGAAGCCCTCAACGAGAAGATGAACGATGACGGCATCGTCGTCGTGAACAGCTATGCTCAGTTCTTTGACACACAGGAAGACAACTGCGATCGCCAGTCGTGGGACTTCTTCTGGTTCCTCCCATTGGGTTCCTCGTACCGAGCTCTCACTATCGAACGTCGCCACGTCTTCAATCAGCTAGTGCTTGATATCAACCAGGCGATCCGCGATGCCGTTGATAAAGCCGCCAAGAGTGATAAGATCAAGTACAAGGTTGGCTACGCTGATTGGGATTACTGGGTCTCGAATGAGGTGGACGCCCGGATGTGCTCGCCGAGTAGCAATGGCGACTATCCAGATCCAAAGCAACCAAACATGCACTTCATCAAGCCCGACACGCACCCTTGGGATGAATGGCAAAATGATTTTGAGCGGTCGGAACTACGCAAGCGCGACATGGATTTTGAGGAGATACTGAACTCGACGAGGCTCTCGAACTCGGAGAAACGCCAGGTAAATCGCATCAAGGCTATGATGGAGGCTCGCGATCGAAACCTTGAACGTACACTCTACGACTCCATCCTTTACAAGTCACCTGATCCACGTGCTGCCGTCAGGCACAAGCTTGACGCCCGTGCTCCCTCACCACCAGGCTGCCCTGGGGATGGTGGCTTTGATATGACCTTTGGCATGGGCATGCCCGACACGATTGGCCGTAACGTAAGTACTAACTACATCCAGGCACAATTATACCAACGTTTCTTGGCTGACATTTGCAGTTCCATCCCAACGAAGCTGGCCACCTGACCATAGCCTCCTTCGCTCTCTCAGAACTCATGGACCTGCGCGCCATCGTTCTGGGCGCCGACTCACCTGCCTGCACCGCCGTCAAAGACGAATTCACATGTTTCTCCAAAACAGGTAGCAAATTCTACGTCAGTGGCAACCGCACCAATGAGAACTACGAGGGGTTCTGCAAGGAAGTCCAAGATAAGCACGACAAGAACAAGATCAACTGGAGTTACTCCAAGACCTACGACGAAGGCACACCAGAGCAGCACGACTACGTCGTCACCCTCAGCAATGGTGTTTCAGGATTCGACAAGGACGAGTGCGTGGACTCAATGAAGAAGATCATGAATTCATGCGATACATCCGACAACCCCATGAACTGGAAGGGTGGTGGCAGATACATTCGCGGCGGCGGAGACTACAAGTACGAGCTCAACCCCCGCCGCAGTAACCGCCCGTGGCCGCCGCTAAAAGCGCCATACGGTCGCTGCGAGGGCTGGTATAAGGGGACTCACGGACGCTACAAGGTCGAGGGTGCTGGCTTCTCCACCTGGGATTACGGAAAAGATACTCTTCGGCCTAACATGAATGGTTGCTATGGTCTTGGTACATCCTTTTGGAAGTTCGAGTACTTTGACAATCCGGCTGATCATGATGGACATGAATGGTATGCGACTTTTAGTACGCCGATCTGGGTTCGTGCGAGATGTTGGGCAAATAATAAGATTGTTAAGGCGGCAGGTGGATGGACGAATGGGTGTAGTGGTAATGATTGAGGTGTTCCTCTGCGCTTTGAATATGCCATCAAACGACATCAGCGCTTGCTTAGTGAATTTTCCAAGGCGGGCTATCATGAGCGCTTTCGAACTTTGGCCGAAGTTTCTTTGGTTCTTCACAATCTCCAACACGGAATCACATAACGAGCTACCCCGGCTTCTTCATTTCATGCGACTCACATGTGAAAGGATGATGGTGGATGAGAATTTTGCGCCAATCTAGGAAAACGCTGAATACCCTAGAGCCTATGTTGACATTAGGTCACCTATCTTGTAAGCTTTTGTTTCGATGTAGTCTGCAAACCTGTTTCATTTTTTCCCTTGCACAGGATGAGTTTATCCCCTCCAAGCACCTCTCAATTTAATCACAACCCGACTCAAGGTCCATATCCGACGATTCCTCTACCGCAGGCTCTTGCTTTGCTCATCCCCAGATCCCGCTTCTGGCTCAGACTCCGATTGCTGCTCATGATCACATGTGCAATCACCCTTCAGGAACGCAATCCTATTCCACAACGTTTGCTCCGTGTTTGTGAATTCCTCGGTGCGGTCTTCATGTCCCTCGTCAGCGTCGTTGCCATATTCATCGCGCGCCTCTTCGCGACTGTAATGACATGTGGAGTGGTACATCCACTTGCACCATGATATTCCCATTGCTAATTTTGCAGGCTCATTTTGTCGGTTGAAACGTGCGAATGACGACGCAGCGGACGAGATTGCTCGAATGAAAGTAAAAGATAGCGTGAAGGTGAAGTCATGTGCCGGCCGATGTAGGTGTTAACGTGCAGTGCATGTAGTCGGAGAAGATGGTAGAGAGTGGAGGGGGCTAACGCACGCTTTGACCACCAGCTCCACCAAAAAAGTTCAGCGGCAGGCGCGAACTTCAGTGCAACCATCAGCGCATTCACCCGCCGCCAGCCTTTGCCAGACATCCAGAGCATGGCGCCGCCTTCCCACTCGCCCGACACGTCAATCTCTTCCCACACCCTCTCCATCGGCTCCATTCAACCGCCGCCCATGGAACTCCAACCCCCCGCGGCGACTTCGCCCACAAGTCTCCTCACCAAACCGCTCGCCTTCCTCCAGCCCACGGCGCAGCTCAATGCGACTTTCCTTGCCGCTGCGAAACGCTATCTCGATCCAGTAGCCGCCGGCGTAAGCGCCTCACAATCACAGCGACAACAAGATCTGCGCAAGAAGCGGAAGCGGGGCGGCGGCTACGATGACGATATCAGCGTGCTACACCTGAAGAAGGTGCACTTGGACGGATTCGGAGTGAACCAGGTGTTCGAACAGACGCGCAAGATCGTCGAAGCGACAACGGATGAGATTGAACTTTCTCTGCCCGATCACGACGGTGGCCCTGTGCCTATCCGTCATGGCGAGGAAGACGACGACGAGGGTATTGAAGAGGCCGAGGAGGAGTACCACACCGAATCAGACATTGGCGAAGAGGGCGTCGACTGGGAATACGATGGTGTGGACGAAGACGAGGATGAAGACGCGCTTGATGGCGAGCCGGACGAAGAAGACATCGACATGGAAGATGGAGCAGACGGCATCTTCTCCGACGATGCGTCAGACGATGCGCCCGCCGAAACCTACCAACCCGACCCCAACGGCCTCAACGACGGATTCTTCTCCATAGACGACTTCAACAAGCAAACCGACTTCCTAGAGCAGCAGGATCAGAGGGGAGAGGGTGTGGACAGCGACGATGACGAAGTAAACTGGGAGGCAGACCCCATGGAAGACGGCCCATCCACAGGCAAAGCCAACGATATCGCAGGAGATGCATCCGACGATGAGTCTGACGAGGGCGGACCAACCTTCGGCAACGTCGATCTGAATGCACCAGAAGGCGAAAGTGGCGATGAGGACGACCTCGAGGACGGTGACCTGGACGGTCTTGACACTGGTATGAACGCCAACAACGTCATGTACAAGGACTTCTTCGCGCCTCCCGCACAAAAGGCGAGCAAAATCAAGAATGGCAAGAAGCGCGGGCGACCCAACCCCCACAACTTCCCCGAGAAGCAGTCACACCCAGCAGAGGAAGTCGAAGAGGACGTGGAAGGAACGATGGCTAGGGTACACCGAGATCTCTTCGAAGATGACGATGACATGGAAAGCGAGGGCGACCTCTCCGACGTAGACCCCTCAGACCCGAAGTCGAGACGATCAACACACGAGCGGAGACAGGCCAAGATCGCAGAGGAGATCCGGAAACTGGAAGCAGCCAACGTTGCGAAACGAGAATGGCAGCTATCTGGCGAAGCACGCGCAGCCGATCGACCCGTAAACTCGCTTCTCGAAGAGAACCTCGAGTTCGAACGAGCCGGCAAACCCGTACCAATTGTCACACAAGAAACCTCGGAAGACATCGAAGCGCTCATCAAGCGCCGCATCCTAGCCGGCGAATTCGACGAGATCCACCGCCGCCGACCCGACGACCTCGCCACCGGCCCCCGACGAGGCCGCTTCGAGCTCGACGACACAAAATCCGGCAAAGGTCTTGCCGAGATCTACGAAGAAGAGCATCTGCGCGAGACAGACCCCAACTTCGTCGAAGCCAAAGACGAGAAGCTAAAGAAGGAACACGACGAAATCACCGCGTTATGGAAGAGCATATCCGCCAAACTCGACTCCCTCAGCTCCTCGCACTTCAAGCCCAAGCCCGCAGCACCCAACCTAGAAATCCGCACCGACGCGCCCGCCATCGAAATGGAAGATGCGCGGCCCACCGCTGGCGGCGAAGTCGCTAGTGCAAGTATGCTCGCGCCGCAAGAAATCTACAAGCCGGGCGAGGACAAGAGCAAGAGTGAGATCGTTACCAAGAGCGGTATGCCAGTTGCTCACGACGAGATGTCGCGGGAAGAGAAGATGTCCAGGCGGAGACGAGCCAAGGAGAGGGCGAAGAAGGCTGGGCTTAATAAGCCGGTGCAGAAGAAGACGGAGGGCAAGGAGAAGAAGAGGGGTGAGAAGAAGCAGCTTGTGTCAGATCTCAAGAAGGGTGGTGTACAAATTATTGGACGGAAGGGTGTTATTACTGATGTGGAGGGTAAGGAAGTTAAGGAGGCTGCGAAGAGGGGCGCAGGCAGCTTCAAGCTGTGAGGAGATAGATTGGGAATGCAAGTCGAATTATGACATTTTCGAATGCGTTGCAGCAGGTTCAATTCACTCGACTCTGAAGCGCTGATATGCGTGATTCTCCCGTCTGAACTTGCAGTCGTGTCTCCGTGTATGTTCCTTCAATCCGGATTCGTTTTGGCGATAGCACACTACGTACCTTAAACGGACAAGCATAGTGCACATATCTTCATCACTCAAGAACGTTCATTTGCAGTATATACATAAGCTACATCATTCCATCATATACCTCATATCCCATCCCACATCACTCATACGCATACCCCTCACAGCACAACCATACCAACCGCACACCCCGCCGCCCCAAGCACCATCCCCCAAACACTCCAAGCCCCTACAAAACTCGCCTGACTACTACTCGGCTGAGCCTTATCCGTCACACCGGACTGGCCACTCGCAGTCGCCGTACACTGCTCCCCACACGCATACCCATCAGGACAGCAATTCCCGCCCGCATCAGCCGCACAGCTATACCACGCACTCGGACAGCTTCCCGCACTCTCCCCATTACCCGCACCCGTAGGCGCAACGATAACAACACCATTAGTGTTCACAATGGTATCCGTCTCGGGTAGCGCACAAGACCCCGTGGTCTGGCAATCGCGGCCAACGCGGCAGCAGCCCGAGGGATAGTACGCACTGCAGACGTAGAAGCCGGCGGGGCAGACGTTGTCGCTGGGGGAGGCGGCGTCGGTGGTTGTTACGGCGGCGCTGGTGGGGCGGACGGGGGCGTCGGGGGCGCGCGTGGAGGAGGGGTTGTCGTCGTCGCCGAGGCAGGAGGCGCCCGTTGCGCAGGTGCGGCCGTTCATGCAGCAGCCGCCGCCGAGGGAGGCGGGGCAGGAGAACCAGCCTGTTGAGCAAATGTATGCGGAGCGGGAGGTTGAGGTGGAGGTTGGGGAGGGGGTGCTGGTGCTGGTGGAGGTGGTTGGAGGGATGGCGGCGGCGGTTGTGGTGGACGAGGTTGAGGTGGGAGTCGCGGAGGTGGATGGTTGGATGTAGGCTGTTGATGTGAATTCTGCGACGCCTGTTTGTGTTAGCATCCAATTCGGTAGTATCATGGAGTCTTGAACTTACATCCAATACCCTGACACTTGAAGCCAGGCAAACAACATCCTCCGTTCTGCGCATCAGGACAACTCGTATACCCACTCGCCTCATCACAGCTCACACTACCCGCGCAAGTCTGGCCCTGGGGACAGCATCCCACATCGCCTGCACTCGAGCTCCCAGAGACACTAACACAGGTGCTGCTCGTGCCACAGCACACATCCGGCGCGCCAATGCTCTCGCAACTCGTTGTTCCATCTGGACACTTGAACTGGCGATTCAGAAGAATATCTCTGATATGCATGCGCGCCAGCCAATCGGACTGGGCCAGCGGCCGTAGCGGCGAAAGAGCCTGCGACGTCGTGTTGCCGAAGACATCGTAGTCTGATCTCTTGGACGATTGCAGCGACGGGGTATCCGCAGCGAAGATCCAATTATCCAACATAAACATCTCGCCCTCATCCGTGCTCATCTTCTTGACTCCAACGGGCTTCTCATATTGCATCCTCTGCTTGACGCTCAACCCTCTCTTCACATGTTCCTCGTCTTCAGGAAAGTATTTCAGGTGTCTGGGTACGTTGTGCGGCCATTGCGGTGGTGATTCGGCGAGTACGGGTGTTGCGCAGAGGGCGATGATGGCGGGCGGGAGGGCGAGTAGATGTGGTAGAAGCATTGTCAACGTCAATGTCAACGTCGGAGAATAATTTGGTTCGGAGCAGGTGCAGGAAGAAGCACCTCAGACAAGCTTGCAAGAAAGTGTGGTTGCGGGCTCGCTGTGGTTGGGATGTCAGTGGCTGGTGGAGCGCACCGGAGCTACAACTCAGGTAATTGGCGAGGCTGGGATGCGTTGGCGCCTCACCGCCGATAGGTGGGCAGGGTGCATCCTGGAGTCCGCCGTTACTGCGACGATGAGGCTCGTTTGGCTAGTTGCTGAGAGCTAAGATGGTGCACGGTTTACTGGTGCTTTGGCGTTTGGTGCTTCAGAAGAGGGGATTGCCAAACGTCATGGCGGCATGCATGTTCCGCTGATTCCGAGCTCTCATCTGCAGGGGCTTGTCGACCTCCATCCAACATGTCCAACCACCGCAGCCATCGACACATTCTATTACTTGGTCATCACGAGAGTTACCTATTATTCGAGCCAAATCTCCCGCGCGATCTCGAGACAGAGCATAGTCAACACTCGAATCAGCACGTTCGCCTTGTGGTCAGGCTTCTTGATCTCAACGCGGTGTCACTGAATAGTCGACACAACGAACACAGACGCCGGCTGCACGGCCAATTCCATTGTACATATATTCAGATGATGCATAACGCGAGGGGAGATCTCCGTCAATGGCCACCGACCGCTTGCCACAGCCAGTCGGATGGCTAGCCTACTCCTTTTTCAACCCACCAAGATAGTGTTGCAGCGCGTATCGCGCGGACCTCCGTTTCCTCAGCCCGTCGTACCAACTGGTCATCTTATACAAACGACCCTGTTGTACCACCTGAGTCTGTTGAACAGCATGACTCTTCCACACCGATCAAGCCTGCAGACCCTTGCGGGCCTTGCGCTCGCTCATGCGCTGGTTCTCCAGCATGGCCACCCAGATGAAGCAAGGCACAAATGCACAAGTCCCCATCAACACCATGATTTTCTGCGCGTCGCCGAACGCGTGTACCACGGCCTGACGCTCCGGACTACCCCATGGCAGTGCCAACTGCGTAGTGATATCACCATAGATCTTTGGCGCCAGATGCTTCGATTCTTCAGGGAGGTATTCGACGAGCCTCTTGGGTACGATTTGAGCCCATAGAGTGCCGCTAACAGACTGGCCGATCGCACCACCAACAGCCGTGACGAGGTTGAGAAGCGCGATAGCAACAGCGACTTGGTCGTGCGGTACAGCCATCATGATAGCAACTTGCTCCACGTTGTAGAGCATAGCGCTCGCCATGGCGCCGAGTACCTCCACCAGGATCAGGATCGCTATCGGGGAGTCGGGTGTGCGGAGATAGATCAACAGGCCAGTCATAAGTAGTTGAATGGGGACGGCGATGACGGCACCCCATTTGTAGGTATCGGTGTACTTCATGGCGAAGCTGATGATGATTGCCCAGGTGCACGAGACGATGTTGAAGATGTTCGTGATATATCCGGCCTTGGAAACGGAAAGCTGGAAAACGACCTGAAGGTATGAAGAGTACATCATGCGGTATGAGCTAGTCCTGATGTCAGCACAGATGTCTCGCGGGTTTTGGAGGACTTACTAAAAAGCGATCCAGGAGTTGCAACCGAGCAGGCATGCCGCGATGATCGAGCGGTTCTTCATGAGGTAGTATGGGAAGAGGGCATGGCTAGCGTAGTAACGTTCCCAGGCCACGAAGAGTAGGATGAGGCAGATTCCGAAGCTGACCATGCATATAAACATTGGGGAGCCGAAGCCGTCCTTTTGGTAGACTGCCAAAGGCCACGGAAGAAGCAGCAGGGAGAACCCACCGGTGATGAGTATGACCCCGATCACTATGACTATTAGCAGGGAATGGATGTCTCACTACAAGTTGAACTTACCGTCAAACTCGGTACACCAGTGCTTGATGCTCTGCCAGATCGTTCTGCCACTCGGCTCGCGCGAGATGACGCCCATCTTTCTTGCTCGCCTCCCCATGAGCCAGAAGACCAGCCAGAATGAAATCGAGAAGACTGGGGTCATGATAGCGAAAGATCCGTAGCCCCAACGCCAAGTGCTGTGGTTGAGCCAGGTTTCACCAAGCTTGGGACCAGCCTAGACACGATGATGTTAGTATACGTCCAATCAACTTCCAGAAAGGGGACTTACGAAGGTGTTGACAACGTAGGGGAATCCAGTGAACGCCATCCAGATCAAACGGTTCTGCATAAGCGCGGTATCGGCGATGAAGATGTTGAAAATGTAATCGACACCGTTCATGCCTGTCCAGTAGATGACTTGCGCAGCGCAAAAGGTCTGGACGTTTTGGCATAGAGCCATGAGAATGAGCGCTACAAGGTCACTAGTCAGCACTGAAAATGTACACTGCAGCATCGAGATGGACGCCTTCCTCTGGCCCTTGAGCTCCGGATCCATGAGTCTCTTCGCAAGATATTGGATTGGTTGGAGTGAATGAACTTACAAGCGACGATGAACATCAGGCAAAGAAGAAAGCCGTGAGGTCGTCCAACAATATCAATAAACTTGGCCAGCGGAAGCTTCGATACACCTCCGACAATGTTCGCAACGATATCGGTAATAGCCGTAAGACCGTGCATCATGAAGGCCGAGGTGACGTAGGGTCGCCATGAGAAGTTGGTTTGTTGTTGGAGAGAGTTAACGAAAGAGATGAGCATGATCCTATGGGATGTAAGCATTGCTGTATGCATCGTAGCAGTACAAAGCATCGACGGGCAGAGGATGGTGCGCAAGAACACGACGAACTTACGCAGCATAAGCGGCAATCAGCCATTTCTTCGTCCAGACAACGGTCAAGCCCTCCATGTCAGCCGGACCCTTGGCCTGCTCCGCACCTTTGCCATCGACAGCGGGATAGGTGTTCATCGAGACATTGCTGTCGTACTTAGCGGTGGTGCTCGGCGGCTTAATAGAAGAAGCATCGGCAGCGATCTCGGGGGTGTCGCAGAACTCGCGGCGCTCCGTGGGAGTCATCCCGGCCATCTTGTCGATTTGAGGTACGTATCCGCTCGCCATGGTGTACCTGCGGTCGCTGGTACTGCGCATGTTTAGTTTCTTCATCTGCGGCTGCAATTGGGGAAGCTAAGTACCTTGTCGCGGAACAAATGCGACTTAATGGCGACAGCGGCGAGTTTGGGTAAAGAGCAAACTAATTGCGGTTTGCGATTGAGTGTAGTGTTGTTTTGCTTGGCTTACGCGGCGAGCAGATTCTAGAGACGCAGCTTGAGAAATTGCGCACGGACAGTGAAGGTGACGGGGAGAAGGGGAGAAGAACAGAAGCGGAGGATAATGCCTCACGGTGATAAACAAAAAATGCGGGGCAGTCGTCATTTCCGGTGAGCCATTTACTCAATGGGGGACATGGAGACGTGTAGGGCAGGAGCGTCATACTGTAAGGTAGTCACGATGGCGGTTGAGCGCAGACATGTCACTGCATGGCCTTTGTGCAAGAGTGCGCATCTCCGCTCAGGTACTATGATGCGGGTCAAGGAATGTTGATACCCTTATCGTAGAAGCGCTCATGTCTGAGGTTGACTTAGAAATAGACACGATGAGCTGGTATCATCGTCGTTGTTGACGTAGAGCAACGAACCAGCTCACGACCTATGTCAACCTTGAAACCAGGGTCCATTGCACTTCGGATAAACGCGGCTCTCCTAGAGTCCTGTGGTCTTCCTTCTTTCTCTGGGAGTATACGAGCCGTGTAAAGGTGACTAATAGAAGTGTTCTGACCACGCGGATGGCGGCCACATAAATTTTGACAGTGAACTCGCTTGCAATGGTACCTCGAAAAGGAGGATTCAGGTCTGCTCTAGTATAACAAACTCATGCCATACGCGTGGCTACATGTTGAAACAGACCAACTGTCTCGGTCCTGAAAAGGGTACTCTGCTGTTCCGTTGTCTTGGTCATGTTCTTCATCAAACACATGTTGACAACCCCCAAGATTTGTTGAATGCGAACGCCCCTGCATCATGCTGCCAGTGCTCTCCCCTAAACGTAGCGCCAGAACTCCCAGAACCGCCTCATCAGACTCACACACTACGAGGTCTGTAGGCTGATCTGCTCAACGCCTCTCGATACCTCCTCCTCGGCAGTCTTGGCTGCAGGTCCGTCTTGACCCTTCTCTGCAGCTTCAACACCCTTGTCAGCACCGGCAGCCTTCTTCGCCTTCTTGCGCTCTTTCTCTGCCTTCTTAGCGGCCGCTTTCTTGGCCTTCTCCTCTTTGGCTTTGCGAGCCTCCTCGCCACCGAATTGCTCGCGCCACTCTTGCTCCTTCTCAGGTTTGATCTGGGTGAAGAGATAGCCGGCGGTGCCGATCTTGTGGCCGACGGGGAGTGACTTCGCCTCCCAAGTGTCGGGAATAATGAGGAACTTGGCATTCAGCTGAGAGAGGATGGCGGCTGTCGTATCGGGCCTATATTATGGTCAGCTATAGATTCCATACTCCTAGGTCGCTTATGCTGCTCGACCAAGTGCGCAGTCATATGATGAGACGGATTCAAGACTTACATGTATGGTTCGATCAAACTGGCGAGAAGATGGATTTGGCTCAAAGCGAGCCCAACGACAGCGGCGCAACGATCTGGCTGTTCTGTAGCCAGCTTGTTGTCAAGTCGGTTGTCTTGCAGCAGCAAGTTACCCAAGCTCGAGACATGGAGCGCGGTCGCGAGTGCGGCACGAATCTTGACATCCTCCAGCTCGGTAATGTACGTCTTCAGCAAATCATTGACCTTCTTCTTGTGCTCCGTGAAGTACTCATCGTCGTACTTGGTCCAGTCAGGTACGACCGAGTCGTAGATCTTGGCGTTATTCACGAATTTGATCACGCGGTTGATGAAGTTGCCCAGGTTCTTCAGCAGCTCGTTGTTGTTTGCGGCAATGAAGCCGTCCCACTCGAATTCGGTATCGCCAGTTTCCGGCCGATGTGAGAGAAGGTAGTAGCGCCATACGTCCGATGGGATTCCAGTCTCCTTGGCGTTGTTGCCGAAGACACCAATGTTCCTTGACTTTGAGAACTTGCCCTTCTCGTAGTTCAAGTATTCTGTGGTTGAGATGGTGTTAAGCATGGTCCAGTTGTCCTTGGTACCGATCTGAGAACAGGGGAAGACCACCGTGTGGAACGGCACGTTGTCCTTGCCCATGAATTGGTAAAGCTTAACGTGCTCGGGGTTGTGCCACCACTTCTTCCAGTCCTCGGTGTAGGTTGCTGTAATCGATACGTAACCTATGCAGGCGTCGAACCATACGTACATGACCTTGTCCTCGTAGCCCTGATACCGGTCAGCTGAATTTTGTCGTGTTCAAAAGTGCGTCGTACCTCGAGCGGCACCGCAGTTCCCCACTTCAGATCACGAGTGATACCACGCGGTCTTAGACCCTCCTTCAACCACGATGAAGTAATGTGGACACCATTGGAGCTCCAGTTACCCTCCTTGCTCGCCTTCTTGAACCATTCCTCTTCTAATGGCTGCAGCTTGTCGAGGCAGAGGTACACGTGCTTGGTTTCGCGCGGAACTGGCGTGGCGCCATCGAGTTTGCAACGCGGGTTCTTCAACTCCAGAGGGTCGAGAAGATGTCCGCACTTGTCACACTGGTCTCCACGCGCGTCTTCGTATGCGCACAACGGACATGTGCCCTCGACGAATCGGTCCGCAAGGAAGCTCTTGTGTGTCTCGCAGTACGGCTGCGTTGTGGTCTGTTCCTCGAGGAATCCGTTTTTGTATAGTTTTGTGAAGATGTCTTGTGCGATGTCGGTCTGTTGCTGTGTGGGTGTGCGTCCGAAGTGGTCAAAGCTGATGTTGAACCACTTGTAGACCTCGCTGTGGAGCGCGAAGTACTTGTCGCATAGCTCTTTCGGAGTGACTTTCTCTTCTATAGCCTTCGTCTCCGTTGCTGTGCCGTATTCGTCTGTTCCGCAGACGTATAGTGTGTTGTACCCTCGGGCGCGTGAGAAACGAGCGAAGACATCGGCGGAGAGTACGGAGCCGACGATGTTGCCCAGATGCGGGACATTGTTCACGTAAGGGAGCGCGCTGGTAATGAGCACGTTCCTTTCGCCCTCGACGGGCAAAATCTTCTTGGTTGTCTCAGTCATGGAAGGTTGTAAGCTGTATCGAGTCAGCTTGCTGTACTGAATGGGTGAATGACGATGTGCTTCGTACTATGGTGTATCGGGATATGTAGTTGAAGGCGAAGAGAGTGGAAGGAAAGCGAGCGCGCAATGGGACGATATGCAGCTCCGTGTTTCTTTGGTCGAGTAGCTGAGTCAAACGCGAATGACTGCACACACGGCGGATGTGTGGTAGCTGCCCCGCCTAAACTTACCCCACCAGCCAGTGACGCCACAGGTGGCTGAACCCTGACTTCGATCTTTGCAGCAAAGGACTTGATCGCCTTTCAGAAGCGGAACTCACACGGATCTCAGTAGAACAGTCTACGAAAGCTTGAATTACTGCCTTTTCTACAGAGCACTAAGGGTGAATTCCTCTGAAGAGAAACCAAGACTTGACTCATCCACACCATAAATATTTGAATTTGGTAACAACCTCAGAAATTGTGCAGTAGCACCACGAGAGAAAGACAACATACAAAACCAAATCCTCAGCTGTTTGGACCGTCGAGTCACTATTCATACAACCATGGCATCCCAACCTCCCAACCCATCAACCACCCGCACCCCCTCACCCGACCCCTTCGACGCCCTCCTAACCCTAGAAGACACCCTCTACACCACCGCCTACAACCTCGGGGTCTCGGACGGCGCGCACGCCGGCCGAATCGAAGGACGAATCTTCGGTTTAGAAAAAGGCTTCGAGAAGTTCGCTTCTCTTGGGGAACTCCACGGACGGAGTGTAGTATGGGGATCACGATTACCAGGTCTCACATTCAATATCGTATCAAAGGAGGAGGAGAGTAAAACGCTGCCGCAGTTAAAGAGTAATGAGAGACTACGCAACAACACAACACTCCTGCACTCCCTAACCGACCCCCTCACCTTCGACACCGCAAACACCGAAGAAGGCGTCGCGGATTTCGACGACAGGTTCAAGCGCGCTGGGGCGAAGGCAAAAGTCATTGAGCGAATTGTCGGCGAAGCCGAAAGTAACAGTGCCTCTACAAAATCACCTGATGGATCACGATCACCAGCGCGAGGGAAGACGGGGCCGGTGAGAGTGACTGGGCAGAGTAAGGCGGGTGGTGCGAAGAAGGGGGATGATAGTATAGAGGATTTTGCAGGATCGAAGTTGTTGCGCTGAGGCGATGGTTTTGAGCATACGGCTTGAGTGTGATGACTTCGGGCGGGTCGGGCGGCGCTGAGCCCTGTCTGTCTCAATGGGGAGAATGGTAATGAGGATCTGCGCTCGTATCATCTGGTATCCCGTACCTGCCTCCCTGGGTAGAGCGGACTGGGGCCTCGTACCATCCCCAAGATTATGGCCTGACATGGCTACACCGGCGGAAAGAGCGAACTACCAGGCAAACGGGACAAGATACCAAGCCATCACACACCTGGGGGGTCTCGCAAGAGTGATGGAAAAGCACTAGGCTTCAAATTACTCCGCTATCCTAGAAGGGGACCCGGGCACAACCCAAGGTCTTAGCTCAACCACTACACCGTGCTATGACATACGAGATGAAGAAAGATAATAAGAATCCATCATAACTAAAAGGATATTGAGAAAGGTGTCAAATCGAAAGTGTGCCGCAAAGTCTCCTCCTCTCCCTTTTCGTGCTAGATGATGCACTGGTATCAAAAACATGTCGCAAATGCCCCCCTTGCGATTGACGCACACCTAAACCACCTCCGCTCAGATAGCATCGATCATAGGGACAGGCCTTTCCATGCGTGGCTCCATACGCGGTGGTGGAGGGCCATTGGGCTTGCCCCCGCTACTATCGACGCGGTTATGATTCGGGAACTCCTAGTAACCGTTCATGGTCATGCGCTGGCTGTTCCTGCTGAGCTCGCGGTCGGCAGAGGGTGAGATGGGGCGCGAGGAGTGGCCCTGGTGGGAGCTCTCCTTGAGGGCAAGCAGCTGCTTGGCGCGGAACGACTCGTAGTGGATTTGTGCGGTCGTCTCGATCAGGTCTTGCAGGTGGGTACGGGTGAGGAAGTTGCGGAGGTAGACGAATTCGCAGTGGTTCTCGTCCTCGACTGGGGGATGTTAGCTAAAAGCGCGTGAAGGGTGGGTTGAGATGGCCTACCGTTGATGATACCCCACTTGTTCTGGCGACCGCGGACGTTCCTGCCGTTGACAACAACGGTCCTCTCAGAGCCGACGACGGCAAAGGGAAGGAGTTCCTAGTGGAAGTTAGCAGACGTCCAGTCGCACCTCGACAACTCCCTCACCTTGATGGCCTGCTTTGCCTGGACTTCCTCGTTGTCATCCTCCTCGTTGTCGTAGGGGTACATGCGCAGGTTGTGGAACTGGAACTCCTCCTTTATCCTGTGCTTGAACTCGGCACGCTCCTCCAGGGTCAAGCTGTCGCTCTTGGCAATGACGGGCACGACGTTGACAAACTCGCTGAGCTTCTTAAGGACGACAATGTCGATGGGCTTGAGGGCGTGGCCAGAGGGCTGGATGAAGAACAGGCAGCAGTGGATGCGCGTGTCCTGGAGGTAGCGCTCACGCTGGGCGGTGAGCTCCTTGCGCAGGTAGGCGCTGTGCTGGTCCTTGATGTACTTGACAATGGGGTCCCAGCAGCGCTCGTTGTTGATCAGGTCGCCGTAGCCGGGCGTGTCGACAATGTTGAGGCGCAGACGCACGCCGTTTTCCTCGATGATGTGTGAGACGGGGTGGATGTTGGTGGTGCTGCGGACCTCCTCGTCGGGCTGGAAGCGGCCCTTGGAGTCCATGAGGTGCGAGGCGAAGAGCGTGTTGATCAGAGTCGACTTGCCGAGACCAGTCTGGCCTGTACACCGTCAATACCAATCGGGACATGGTGGAGGAAGTAGCTTACCAACGCAGATGACATTGAACTGGAAGCCCCGCTTGACCGACTTGCGCTCAATCTGCTTGGTGATGCTGTCGAAACCGACATAGCTGTCCGGGAAGATGGGCTGCGACTGGTTCTGGTTGTATGCAGCAGCCATTGTGGATGATGGGAGCCTCGGGGCGCGGACTGGGGGTGATGGAGGTGGGTGGGTGAATGGGAATTAGGTTGGGGAGAGGAGGGTCGGAGGTGTCGTCGTAATAGAGTAAATAGTCAGGGTCGCTGCGCTGGCGACTTTCTCGTGGAGATGCAGGCGCGGGAAAGGGGGCAGCTAGGAAGCGAAAGCGCGCTAGTGGGAGGGCGGTAAGGCGCGACCTGCAAGCTCGGACTGGGGTCACGACATTTTACAACACCATCACCGGCATCGCCATATCGCGGCCCTACGTAATCCCGCCACAGCCAGTCGCCCGTAGCAGACATGGCACTCACCCGCCCGCTCCCTCCGCTGTGGCAGACTCTGCTGCCGCGCCTCAATGGCCCAATGCGGCCCATCCTGAACACGCCTTTCCTTCAACGCCTATCACAACCCTTCGGCGCAACCAACACACCATTCGGCGCACTCGCGATACCGTCACTATCACTCCCCTCAATACCGTCACTATCCGATATCTGGGACGGCATACTCAATGCGGTGCCCAAGAAGAAGACGTCATACCGCAAGAAGCGCCAACGGTTCATGGCGGGCAAGGGACTGAAGGATATCACATCGCTAAACACATGTTCTGGGTGCGGAAGAGTCAAGCGCCTGCACATCCTGTGTCCCTACTGCGTGGACGGTAAGACTGCCAATCCCCATTGGAAGGGCTATCCGCTAACAAGTACCCCAGCCATCAAGACCACCATCTTCGGCCAGCTCAACTGGGCCATCCGCCGACCGACCGACAAGCAAGCGAAGGTGATGAAGAGGGAAAAGCGCGAAGAGGCGCAGCGAATACGGACGCTAGAGCCCGACCAAAGGAAGGCGAAGGAAGAGGCAGTAATGAAGCACACGGGCTGGAAGAGATGATGCGGGGTGGAGGAAGTTGTAGAGAAGTACACAGGCTGAAAGAGATGGTGCGGGAAAGATGAACGACCCGTGAACGAGAGCAATTGGCATGTAGTCTGGATGACTGTATTTGTAGCGCATATACAGGCGCGGCTTGGGCGTCGGGATACTTGTACATGAAAGATGTAACAACATAACGGACAGGCGACTACGATATACACCACAGGCAAATGCACACTGGATCAAGCAATTCAAGGTGTCTTCAGCACCCGATTCTGTTGCACCAAAGTGTTCTATGATTACCCCAATCCATCCATTACCTCTTCTCGTTAGCACCCATAGGCGGCGAACCAACCGTACTCCCCCTCCTACTCGCATCGCCCTTGCCCTCCGCCGCCTCCCTCTCCAAGAAGTCCTGCCACAACTCCGCCAACGACTCCTTGTTACTCGAGCTACTAGCCATGAGCATAGGGTCTGCGGCAGCGGCGCTCAGTGACGCGGTCGATGGCGTTCGTCTGAAGGGCGAGGAGAGAGGGATGCGGAGGCCGGTTGAGCTGGATGAGGTGCCGGGGCGAGCGAGACCTGCTTGCTCTTTTTGCTCTGGGTGGGGGGTTAGTAAGAGGAAAGGTGTGAGGGTGAGGGGAGAGGGGAGGAGGGAAGGGGGGCGTACCATCTGTCCAGCCCAGCAGCGCAGAGATGAGCTGCAGCGCCTCGAATTTCTTCGGATCACTCCGGTCTATACTCAAGAAATGCAAAAAGTAGTTTGTGATGATCTGTCGATCGACGTTATCCTCCGGTCGTCCTTTTTTCAGTATCCTCAGTGCCTTGGTGAGGTGCTCGTTGAGTGTTACGGCTTCGTGGCGCAGTTTGCCGATTAACAGGTTCTTCTCCTTGACTTCCTTCTCGAAGGGGAGGGCGCGCTCGAGATCTTTCTGTGTGGACTCGAGTGTGGCTTTGGCGGCGTTGGACGCTGATTCCGCGGCTTGGACTTGTTTCCGCAGGTCGTTGATTTGCGATTCGTAGGTCTCGACGGACTTTTTGAGCTCGGCTTTTCGCACTGTACATCGTTAATCAGCGAGATCTCTTGTCATAACTGGATTGTACTCACGGTTTTGTACTTCCTGTAGCGCCTTCTGCAGACCCTCTACAGCTTGATTACTGGTGTCCCTATCCCTGGCAGCGCGTTCGTACTCTTCCCTCATCGATTCAAGTTGATCTCGCAACTCGGCGTCCTTCTCAGCCAAGTTCTCGCGCAGAGATCGCTCATTCATGGCCAGCACTTCCCAGTCTTGCATGGCTTGTTTGGCGTTCTCAAACTCCTCCCTGGCGTATGCTTCTCGTGAGATCAGCTCATCGCGTTCCTTGATCCAGTTCTGTTGCGACAGAGTCGACCTGCTCCGTAGTGTCTCGATCTCAGATGCCTGGGCTTCCTTTTCTTGCCGTAGCTTTGCGAGCTCCTCGGTCAGGCTGTTGTTGTTCTCCTGTAGCTCGCGGGTTTGCTCCTCGAAGTCGGCGATTTGCGATTGGAATTCCTCGATCCTGGCCTGCGGATTGTTAGTACTCTGTCTGCTGCAATGTCCTATGCAGACATACCGCATCGGCCTTTAGCCGGTCGCCCAAGCTGGTCTTGATCGTGTTGACCCTGCCGAGCAAGTTCTTGTATTGTGTCTCGAAGTGCTCCTTGCCCTCGTTGGCCTCATCCAACTCCTCCCTCAAACTCCGCATCTCCTCCTCATGATTCGCATGTGACTCGTCTGATGTCCCTGTGCTCTGCTTGTTCTGAACCTCCTCCAGACTCTTCCTCAGCTCCGTGACTTCCTGGCGCAGCGCATCGCGCTCCTTGGCTATCGCGTCCAGGCGTGCGCTGGCGTCTGAAGGGGGCGGCGGCGAGGCGGAGATTCCTTGTTGCGAGCGTGAGCGTGCCAGTCCAAGCGCAATTGCGGACGAGATGCTGTGGTGTGGAGTACCGTTGGTCTGCAGGGTCGGCGACAGCGGCGGTTGGTCGTCGTCTACGTCGTCGGCGTCTGGATCGGCTGAATGCGCGGCGGGCTTCTGCATTGACACCATTAGTCTTCGTGGTTGTATAGAGGGCTCTCGTGGACCGCATACAGCCTGCTCGGCCTCATCCTCGGCGTCTTCATCGTGATCATCCGCGTCGCTTCTGGCGTGGTCCCCATTTACTTTGTCTGTGCCGTCCGCCTTGTTCGCAGCGGCGGCTTTCTTCTTATTCTTCTTTTTCTGCGACTTGGACAAAGTGCCTGTCGTCGCCTGTTAGCCTGTAATTCTTCCGTGCTCCCACATCGGCCGCGACGTGAAAGCGGAGTTTACTGGCACCTCCGAGGGCTGCAAGCTCACCTACCACTCTGCTGTATGGGGTCCGATGTAGTGGGCGCAGACATCTTGAAAGACGCGAAATGCAGTCGCTACCGCATCAAGAAGGCTTAGTATATGGGCGAAAGAGGCTCTGAGGGTTCTGGGGGAGCATTCGTGGGTGTCTTGACTTGGCAATTCGTGTCCCGTTCTATGGTTTGTTTCGGCCCACGCGGTCCACGGGTGGCGTACGTCACTAGCCACATCTCACCATCGTCCCATCTTTAGACCGACGCAGGCCCCTCGTAGTCATCAACCCGCATGCAACGACTTGTACATTGTCTCGATCACAAGGGAGACAAATTCTTTGTGTGCACTGCTTCACGACTCGAGCCATCAGCGACAGCGCGCCAACCTTCGCGGGGTAGCCGAGCCCTCCGACATCTCCTGCAATCCAGCTCAAACAAGCCAAGACTGACCGCGTAACCTGTTCGATCCCTCCAGACCATGAAGTACTATCGACCGCTATTCTACTCTGCCGTCACAATCATTTATGCCTCGTTCACGCTCCGAGTCCTCAGACTAGGTCTCCTTTCAAGATTGATCAGTCAGAAACGGGACCCAAAAGCCTCGTAGGACGGCGTCTGAGATATGCTCGAGTGCTCCAAACGCAAACGTCTGATTACGTCTGGCTCTATGGATGTCATGCACATGAGCTTTCTCGGACCATACTTCTGGAAACGTCTCCGACTCCAGTATATGACGACGTGTTTTTCTGATCACCACAGTATTACTGTCATCTCTTAGGCTCACACAGGCACATTACATACCCAAACCCCATAGCAGCACTTCCATCTACAAATTCAATTCCAAAATCACGACCGCCCCGTCCAAGTCAAAGCAAGCGCTCGATTTCGACGGCGCCCTCTTCCAAGAACTCCAAGGCGATGTCAGCGATTCCCACCACTCGCTGCAACGTCTGTCGTCCACGACAACGGCCGCGGTCCCGGCGCAGTGACCATAGCGATAATGGGAAGCAGCTTCCCAACCGGTCTCAAGATCCATGCTACGGACGTAAACCCCATGTTCCTCGCTCAGCTGTAAGACAATCTCACCGACAACCCCTCGTGGCCATTCAAAGTCGAGACAATGGACGCCTGCAACCTCACCTTCCCAGACAATACCTTCAACAGCGCGATGAGGAGATGTGGGATGAGGTGCTCGATTTCATTGTGGAAAATTAGCCTCGTAATGAGTGGTTCGAGGGTGAGGGTGGGGTGAATAAGATAAGGGTGGTTGCTGATGTTGCGATTGTCAAGAAGGGAGGTTTGTGAGTGATTTTCTTGCTGTGTATGCTCTCTGACAATCTAGATCTGTACAAACAGCTACGGTATAAAGGCTCCGCTTTTCTGATGATCGAGTGTGCCTGCTGTGGCTTTTCTATACTACACGTCCAGTCACTGGTATTCACTCTAACTGTCGTGGCGACCGTACCTTGTCTTATCATACGAAAGTTCTGTGAATCCCTTGAGAAGGTAGTGAGCTCATTTCTCAGGCTACCAAACCCACCAATACGGCCATATCAGTCTTTCACGAGACTGGTTCTACGTTTCCTATCTGAGAGTAGTAAAGGCACTTTTAGTGCAGAGACAGTCGGCCAAATCCCGCTCATCATCACGAGCACAGGTCCATGACTGCATACCGGCCAAAGCTTCCTTCAGGAACGTTTGCTCCTTTATCATTGCCTTCAGGCAGCACACGATAGTCCGATGAGGCAATCGCGCTGGCAACGAGACTCTGCTTTGTCTGCGTATATAGATCCGCCCACTCTCTTGTTTCCAAGTCTACACATCGACTCTCAATCCACCCAACTGTACCAAAACCTAGTACAATATGCAACTTCTACTTCTCGTCCTCGCCGGGCTTTTTGCGACCCTGACCTCCGCATGCGGTTATCCCTTCAACAACAACCGGCTTACCAACAGTTCCTTGGTCGACGACTTCATCGCCGACCTGGAAGTATCTGGACAGCTCGGCGATAATGGCGGCCAAGGCTGGATGTCAGTCATCAACGATCGGATTCCAGATAGAACGGTCTGGCCCGATCTGGGCCCCGAAAATGACCCATACGTTTGGATCGATTACTGCTTTGCCACTGATGAGGACTACAAAGCGCTCAACGACGTCGGTAAGTGACCCTACATGTCGCCTTCCACATCACGAATTCTGCGAGTACTGACTCTGTTTACCACAGTGGATGACCAAGTTGGGCAAGGGTAAAGACAATGGACATCGATTTGCTGGATTCCGTCACTACTACTACGCCGAAGAGAAAGTTTATCCACGTTGTGATAAGGATGGCGATTGGAACGAATTCATGCCCGAAGGTACACTCCTGATCTAGAAATCCTTTGATGAATCTGCTTCAGCAACTATTGGATTCATCCCAAAGACGCAGTAAGTCGGTCATCGACAAAGATTATACTTCAACTGTCTATTATGAGGTTACTAACATCTTTTTCCTACTCTAAGAAATGAGAATCCCGATCGACACAGTCTGCATCTTGTAGTGCGTCCTGCTGAGTATTGGAAATGGGAGGTGGCTCATGAGCTGGGTCATGTTCTTGGCTTTGAACATGAGCATCAGAAGAAGCAACGTGAGCTTTCTCTACCAGATTACCTTCCGAGCCCGGCTAACAAGTTCAGGGGACGACTGCGTCAACTTCGACTGCTCCAAACTCGAGGGCTACGAGACTGCCAAGAAGAAAGTGGAGACTGAGCCCGAGTGGAAGGGGAAAACGATTGAAGACGTCTGCAAATCGAACTTTCTGGGATACCTGAACGGCCTCCATTTTGCAGCACCAACCGCGTACTGTACCGACATGGGTCTCGCAAAAGATGACAGGACATCATTGCTACAGTACTCGGATACGACATACAACTACGACTCTATCATGCACTACCCCTCTCAAGCGTTCGCTACGAATCAGCGAGGTGCCGTCAACGAGCTACCCCTTGTACGCTGGAAGAATGGACGTCCCAGTGACGGTTCGGGGCCGAACGATGAGAACGCACAATCCATTCCAACTTGGACGGTGATTTCGGATGGAGATAAGAGGGGCGTTCAGCAGTATTATCCGTACGTGGGACCTACAGAGAATGAACAGGATCAAGGTGTACAGGATGTAGGAGTATGGGGTTAGCAAGACATCGATGGTAGAAAAACATGTCTTGACAGCAATGTACTAAGGTCAGGTAGATTGTTAGACATAAACAAGGTTATACAGGTTGCCTCAATACATGGACGAACATTATCTTTCGCGCACGTGTATATTGACTGTGATGTCGGTGGTCGGGCGAAGGTCCCTGAAACCCTCTGACGTCGCCTGGACCCTGAGGCTAAAGTCGCCGGTTCCCCACATCGGGGCCGTTACGGCAGGTACCACAATGACAGCACCACATCGCCGGGAACATCGTTCGGTATCCGAAAAAGAACCGTTACTACACACACGCAATACTAAGATGCAATTCCTTATGTTAAACCACAGAATCGATGTTGCATCCAGATATAGTCTTCGGTCACCGTGAACAACATCAGTCCATCTTCGACACATCTTAATTACCAGATTACCCCCAACTCAACATCAAGAGCTCCAGACCATCTACTAGCTATGGCGGCTGTTTCGGTTGCACTTAATCTCGACTTATCGAACCTCAACGTTAGCACCGGAAACGACGATACCAACGTGTCCAGCGACTTCTCCTACGGCTTCTCGCACGCGAACGGCACCAACGGTAACAATGCCAAACCCCTCCCAATCGTGATTGCGGGAGGCGGTTGCGTCGGTCTGTTTCTAGCCCTCCTCCTCGCACAGTCAGACATACCCAACAAGGTGGTCGTCATCGAACCGCAGCAGCCAGATCCAATGTCGACGCGCGCAATGGCACATCAACCTCCAACATATCCCATCTTATCCAAAGTCGAAGGCCTACTACCGGAGTTGATAAAGACAGGAAGTTTGAGCTCAGGCCTATGTTTCCGAACGAGCATCCAAAACGGCAGCAAAGTGATCGCAAGCAAAGAGTTCGACAACTCGGGCGAAGGCATGAAAGGAAAAGGTCAACTCCTCCTACCACAGGGAAAATTCCAACAAGTCCTCATGAAGCGCCTAGCAGCTCTGGGTGACGAAAAGGCAGAAGTGCGCCTCGGAACAAGCGTCTCATCCTTCAAATCAACCCCCAGCAGCGTCACCGTGCAAATCACCCCCGAAGCCACCTCCCTGCAACTCGGCGACGAATCCCTCGAAGCCCTCTACCTACTCGACGCATCCGGCGCCCACTCCACCATCCGCAAAGACCTCAACATCAGCCTCGAAGGCGAAACACTCGACGCCCAACTCGTAGCCACAGACCTTTACTTCGACTTCCACGCCCACGGCTTCCACGACGCGAACTTCATCATGGATCCGCTGAACTACGGTCTCATTGGCCGTATTAACCACGCCGACGCCCGGGATGGGAAACCAGCCTTATGGCGCGTGAGTTATGGGGTTCCGATTGGGGTGTCTGAGGAGGAGATTATGAGGACGCTGCATGAGAAATTGGGGGTTATGATGCCAGATGGAGGACGGGATGGGCAGGGGGATAAGGCGTATGAGGTTGTGAGGGTGGCGCCGTATAAAGCGCAACAGCGGCTCGTTCCGTCGTTGTATCATCACGACGAGCGTGTCTGTCTTGTTGGGGATGCGGCGCATTTGACGAATCCGTATGCAGGACTTGGGCTGGCGTCTGGTATGGCGGATGCGTCTTCGCTCTCTGAGGTTCTCGTTCGTGTTCTTACTGGGAAGGCTGCGGATGATGAGAGGTTGTTGAACGCTTGGTCAACGGCAAGGAGGGAGAGCTTTCTCAATGTTGTGGACAAGCCTTCGAGGATGGCGTATAAGCGGGTCAAGGCTGATGTCAGCAATGATGAGAAGATACAGGAGATGATGAGTAAAGATCCGCTTGTGGGTGCGTTGAAGAAGGGTATGCCTGTTCAGCCGCCGAGTTTAGAGACGAAGGGGGAGGAGTTGGAGGGGTGGTGATGGCGAGGATGTTGATTATGCGTCATTATGGGTTTGTTGCAAAACTTCTTGCGAAGTATTGCCCTGAATTCATTATACATTAGACATGGCGTAATACGAGTTGCTCAAAGAATCATTCCCCAGCATACCATCCCCCCAAACGACTAATCCCCGTAGGCAGCACATCATCCTCAACCACCGACTCCGTAAGCTGCCCCCACGAATACATCTCACCATCCCAACTCCGCACCTCCGCAGCCGGACAATCCTTCGGCGGAACAGGCGGCCGCTCATCCCCCCTCGTCGGCGCAGTCGCCTTCTTCATCTTCGCATAAGCCAACCTCGCCACAGCCGCCGCATCCTGATCCGCCGTAAAATACTCGAGGTAATCCTGAAGCTGAGGCGTGAGATTACTCTCCGGATAGCCCTCAACGCGTCCAGTCGAAGTACGGTTCCATCCAAACTCAGTAAGACTGGGCAGTGAACGGACTAGTCGCATCCACTCATGATATATACCCGGTCGTTGGAGTAGAGAGTAGATGACGTTAGTATGTTTCCACTCCCTCACCCCCTTCCCCTCTTCCCCCATATGCCTCGCAACATGATCACACCTTTCCCCCCACTCGTTACTAAAATGAACGCAGAACCCACAGCCCCAGCCCGTCCTCGTCATACGCCGCCGTCTCGCAGACAGCGCATGAATCTTTTTCCTGCCAGACCCCACCTCAGCGCAAGACGTGCATCGGTGAGCCGTAGCGTGGTGTTTCGTATAGTCTTTAGCGAGGAAATAGATGTGATCGCAGAGTCCACACGTGAACATTTCGGGTCGCTCTTGGTAGGTTTCTTCGTGGCGCTTCCAGTCTGCTTTTGAGATGAAGGGGCGGGTGCAGCTTGTGCAGAAGTAGGCGTGGGGTTTGGGGCAGAGGCGGGATTGTTTGTGTGCGGAGACGCAGGTTTTGAAGTAGTCTTTTGATTGTGGGGCTGGTTTTTTGGGAGATTTTCCCTTGGTGGGACGTTGGCAGCGCTCTTCTGTTGGGGTAGCGGGATATAGAGGTGGATCGGCAGGACCGTGACACAAGAGATGTTCAGCCATGGAAAAGTTTTGGTTTCTCGACATATCGGAACTGTTCGAATAGCCTGATGTGGACGATGACATTGAGTCTCGGAGAGGGGTCTGCGAGAAGCTACTGTTCCCCGAGGATCGATAGCTTGACATTGCCGACGAGAAGCTCGAAGCGGAGAGGTGTTGCGGTGAAACGAAGGGCTGGGGTACGGTGTTTGCGGTTGGCCATTGTCGAGGAAGATGTTGCAGAGCCTCTGTTTTTGGGTCAGTCAAAGTACTACTATGGTGCACTGGGAGTGATCTTCACATACCGATAGGGCTTTGTTGGTACTTGTTGGCGATGCTGGGCTGATCCTCCATATAGCTCCATGCTGAAAACGCAGTGTCGAAGGCTTCGTTACCGAAATCATCGGTCGTGTCGTATGTATACAGCGAGCCAGCGCTTGAATGTTCGTAACCACTCATGATGCAGAAGAGTAAAGGATGTACAAGAAAGAAATATATTCAATGCGCGCTGCGCTAGTAGTTGAAGAACGTCGTCCCGACCAAAACACCAACATGCCTCCATCGCCGGCTATATACCCTCAACCACATTCTCAGCCTCAGCTGCAGCGACCAGAAATGCGGCTAGCGTTGTGGAGGCGGCGTAGTTCACCTGAAACGCGGCGAACGCTGATGGCAGCCGTTTCATGACCTGTCCGTGTTTCGAAACAACAGGCATCCAGAATGAGGGGTCGCGACGATTGGATCGAGATAATCAATCGTGCAGAGGCGTGCATATCTGTGTTCCCAAGGCTGTTGACCGGTTGCGATGAAAATATGCGCTGCGAGGGCGAGTGGTTGAAGCGAAAGGCTGAAACGGCGACGGGCGAATAGGCGGTGGTTTGCCAAGGAAGCGGGACCAGAAGCCATCCAAAATGTCCGACCGTATTTATAAGTTGGTGCAGCCCGAGATGCTGACGTGCATGTTCCCGAGGTACTTTGAGCTCCCAGAATACGATGGTAGTGACCAGGGTACTTCATCCGGTAAGCTTCGACGGGTGTGCGAACCTTCAACGACCTTCACGACCCATCTTCCCATCCACCCCCGCCATCTACAAGCGTCACAGTAGTCTCCTCACCCACCTCATAGCCCACGTCTGTCTTGCTGCGTCGCCTCGAACACCTCCTCGCCTCGCTGTCGAGTCGCCGTCAAAACGTTGGGGTTCAACGTCGTTCTCAAACCTGTTTCGTACCGCTGCCTTTGCAGCCCAGAAGTCGTTCATCTCGCTGCCTATGCAGCCTAGTCGTCGTCGTTATCCTCCTCCTCCTCCTCCTCCTCCTCCTCCTCACTGGAGCTTGGTTCAACAGGCGTGTGGCTCACGCTGTGGGAAATATCCCAAAAATGGTTCCATTTCTTCTTGATGTGCTCTTTGAGCACCGCTCCCTTACACAGGAACTTCTTCCTGCTGTCGTCGAGCCACTTTCTGAAGGCCATTTGGGTTGGATAGTGGGATTGTTGTTGTGTTGTGGGTATGGTGTGTATGGTGGTGGTGGTGATGGTGAGAGTTTGCCAAACGGAGCTGGAATAGCAAGCATGGCTGTAGCTGGCCAATTTCCAATACAAGGTGACTGTAGATGCCATGTGGGCTTTAGTAAGCTTGGGCCATTGAAGACTCGCAAACCTATGAGCTGAAATGCCTCAATTGTTGTGCTGGTTTGGTGATTTGGCGCTAGTGCGGCGAACTGGGAGCCCCCCCAATGCTCGGACATACTCAACACCAGATTCACGAATGCACTGCACCCACAACCCTCCCTGTCGATACTCACGTCGTTCTACCGCTACTAGGAGATATATGTCCAGCTCATTTGGTCCCCTGGGACTGTTCCACCGCTTTGCTCATCGCCGCAGAAGCTCGTGATAACCTCTAGGCCTACCTCACACGGGGCTATCTACGTTGAAGCTGATATTGGAAACCTCCTCGCGCTCCAGAGAATCACGATATCTCATGTTCTCGTTCCATACACGCAGCTGCTGGCGCTCCTCGTGGCGGTGAGCTAGGGTCGTGGGCCGCTCCAAGGACGCCTCCTCCGTCGAGCCTGGCATCGGCGACCTCCTGGCGACCAAGGGAATCATGGCCTCTCGGATCTTCACCTCCTACATGCAGCTGCTGGCGCTCCTTACGAAGGCGGGCGAGGCTCGAGGACCGCCTCAAGGCCGCTTTCTCCGCCGCCTCAGGCCCAGCTGCAGCCCACGGTAAGACCCCCAGCCAACACGATGAAGACACTCACCTGACCCCCATTGACTACAGACAGACTCGATGTCGCTCAGAACAGCTTCGCAGTTTGGAATTACCCCGCGGCGGAGAACCAACTGCCTACAATCTTCGAGACCTCCGGCCGTCTCCCCGAACTACAAACCCCGCAGCTCCGATTGAGACCACGAAGCCGGAAAGGCAGCGCGACGAGACCCTCTTTTATACCTATCGTCACACAGATGGAGCCCTCGAGCCTTACTAGATCGCACCGGCGACGAGGTTGAGGGGCTGCCTCGAAGCGCGGAGAGCTCTTCCATCGAGGACAAAGAATCGACACGGACAAAGAGCACCGCGACCGCCCCTACGACGACAGGAGACTTACTGCAACAAGCGGCATCGTAGGGCTCCGCCTCGGCGATGCATATTACTGCTTCGCTGGTGACTACCTCGTACCTCGCGGCGTTGGTACTACCAGCCGCACACCTTTTCCGATGCATCCGCGCAAGCAAAAGCGTCGCGAAGAGTCAGAGCGATACACGCAGGCTTACTTCAGGTTGGGCGTGACGGCAACCTCATCCAAAGGCATCACTCACCTGATGGCGACACTTACCATGAAGACAGACAGCTTCGGCGAACCGTCGCATGTCCTCAAGCACACAGCGATGCGTCCGACAAGACAAGGCCTCCCATGGCGAGACCGCTCGTCCATGGGCATTGTCGGAATTACTTCACACCTTACGAATTTGCGCAACGACAGACCGGCGACAACGCGCAGCCATAGCCACGAACATGTCTTCATACATCCGAATAGACCACGATGCTGCTTCGCACCACAGCATGCGGATGTGGGCTGCGATACAAGGGGCGCAACATACCGGGCTCTCGGCGTGGACGGCTCCTCAGACGACGGGATGATGAACGCTTGCGCAATGCAAGCACGACAGGGAGTCAAGAGTTGGGTTCATATCTGCTCTTTCATACGGGTGTATCTTCTCCAGATTGCAGGAAGCGACCCGGTGGAGTATCCAGGGTTGTCGTACCAATACTGGCCAACTCTTACAACTTGGGTAGTCATCCCGACTCTACACAGACAACGCATGAGCAGTCTTGGCAGGCAAGCTTGTAAACGTCAAGCTTCAACGCCTGAATAGTTCAGGTACAGGCAAGAGCTGCCTCAGTCGCTTCGCCGCAGTCACGACTCGATCGTCCTGGCCGTGTTCGCTCATCTGCAGGAAGTTCATTGAGGTCCAAACATTCTGCAACTTCATACCGACTAGCGCAGCCTGAAGTCTTATTCGACTGTCTCGCGGAAGGCTGGAGTCCTCAAAATCCAAGCTCTTGATAACACCATGATGCACCTTCATCTGGAGGCCGATGTCGTCCTTGGGGTCGAGCACGAGGCTAAAGGCAGGGGTTTGCGACCACATCCAATCCTCAGTCTATGGACGTTAGCATCGGCAGCGAAATAATTGAGGGCTACGTGTGTACCTGTAGCTCGTCGTAGCCTTTCTGGATATCGGGGATGTTCAAGTGCTCTTCGCCGACAGTTTGCACGATGCTTGGAGCTCCCAGCTCAGCATACATTGACGCAAACTCCTCTTGCAGACTTTCCTGGAATGTCGACACGTCAAGACCGATGTTGGACACAGGCGAGCTGACACTCTCGACACCCTGGGCTTGTATGACGCTCTTCGCGGGAGATCGCAAGTAGTGGGGTATGATGTGCAGGTTCGGCGAACTCAGCAGCGTCGTCGCATGGTGTAAAGCGCGTTGGCGCGTCAGCTTGTATGCTGAGCCGGACACCTTCAGCGGCCGTGGTCCGCCTTCGTCGGTCGTGTAGGGCGTGCGATGCGTGTCCTGAGGGCCGGCTGTGTGCCTCTCATGCCCTTGATCGAGAACGATGTCATGACGCTCGTTGACTCTGGCGCGCTCGATGCCCAGCTTGCGCAGGGCGCGAACAACCATCTCGGCGTGCAAGTCGCGTGTGAAGTCGCCGCGGGGGCATGTGATGCTCCAATTGAGGTTGCCCTCATCATGGAAGACAGTCCCTCCGCCGGAGCGGCGGCGTACAAGGTCAACCGTACCGATGCCCGGGGGCTCGCTGTCCTTGGCGTCGTGGGGTCCGCGGGCGGCGTTGAGGATGTCCAGATTGACCTCCGTCCACGGGTTCTGGTTTCGCCCGATGACGACGCAAGGCCTGTTCACATAGAGGAACAAAACAGTGCTGTCGGCGGGGCTCTTGCGCAGGATGTGGTCTTCGATGGAGAGGTTGAGGTACGGGTCGCTGCTGCGGGACACGTAGCTCTGCAGCTTGTTGGCGGGGTCGGCGAGCTTCTCCGTGAACGACGAGTACGTTCGGACCGTCTGCTGTGGCGTATATCGTATCGCAGAGCCTCTCCAAGAGCTCCTGAGGGCGTCTTGTCGTCCGGGAAGGAGTAAATCGTTCGGGGCAATCACTGTCCAGCCTGTCGAAAGCGAGCGGAAGCCGCGACGAGCCGCATATGGATTGCGACTCGTGCATTCATATCGTGAGCAGACGCGCTGAGCATGCGATATGCTCAGACCCCTCGATGGCGCCATGACGATTGGGTCGATGTTGGTGTTGTGGACATGAAGTTGGCGAGGCGTTGAAGCCGCCAAAGGCCCCACGGCATGCCCGAACTAGCAAGCACCGCCGAGTGGCCCCGTTCTTCCCAACGTCAAACCTCAAGGCTGCGATGGCAGTCTCTGCTACCACCTCCTCCTAAATGTCTACAAGGCCTACGCATCCTTCCTGCATTGCTTTCATCATCGATGCGGAGGGTATTACTGCTTGGCATCTGATCTCGCGCATTTTGCCCCTGATGACCCCGCATCGTGGGGTTGACACGGCTTCATTGGATGTCGTCCAAGACCACACCATCTCCTGCATTAAGGATGGCATGGCTTCTGCAGCTCGTGCATACTGACCTTCATCTTGTCCGGATCTTCTAGATTCTACGTTGCGCTGCCATACGTCGAATCATTTCTTTCATTCCTACGTCTTTCGTGAATGTTTTCCTTTCTCACTTCCAGCACGATGCTATTTCTTATTCATGTCACCTTTCCATTCTATGTATTCATCTCAAGTCTCGTCTCCTTTCCGACCCGAAATGTTAAGGCGCCGCACTCTTTGACGGTCGTTGTCACCACGGTACCGCCCCCGCTCTGGATCGCGCCCTCACCACAAGGGCCCACACCACCATCACCGCCAGCTTCACCAAGGCGATACTCAACACCAGGATCATGTCGATTTTTCCCAAATTCTGATCTTCTTCTCGGGGATGCAAGTATCGTTGACCGGAGATATAAAGGGACCTGGAGTCGTATTCTTCCATCAAGTCATCCAGATCAAATAGCCCGGCGGTCAATCGCACTCTCACCTCAAGAGGGATACAAAAGCTAACGAGTTCGAATAGTATCACTACCTGCTATCCTTTCTTTGCTTTATCTGCTTTTCGCGCCAATATAGGGCTTACCATTCTTTCCTGGCTTCGGCCTTCTTTCGCGTTGTGTTGGCTTCGGCCGTTTTCAGCATTTGCGTTGGCTTCGGCCTACTTACATTCCTTCAACCATCTTGGTAAGTCAACATTCCCTTCCAATTGACCGCTTCGGCTGTTCGATCTAGATGACTTGATCTTCTTTTTTTGCTAATGTGTCATCCAGAATGTGACGTAGCCTTACTGCATAGTTGGTAGTAAAGTATCAGCATGCTTTAGGACTCCTCATCCGCTCGTATCTTCGCATTGCCTTCTATCCTGCAGTATCCTCGCTGCTTTACGTCTTTTTGTACAGAACGCATTCACACGCTGTCGGAGTTACACGCATACGCAGCCTGCCAAAGCGTAATGCTGTTGTCCCCACGAAAGGAGCAAACGCGTCATCGCCGCACAACAACAAAATCTCCGCTCCTGCCTACACACCGCGCAACTGCTAGGAGTCTCTCCTCCGCCTCGCTATCAAGTTCAGCCCAACTCTTTTAGAGAGGAGAACTAGAAGTCCCTTCGCTACATAACCCCCGTATTCTAGCCACCATCCCATCAAAGTCCAAGACAATAGCGTAGTGGTCCACTCCACTCCCTCCAACACCGCTCAACTCGCCGTGTTCGAATCACGCTAACGACATCTTCCAGCTCCCCACCGGCCTAACCTCACCGGTCTTTGGATTTCGGGGCCTATCCCCGGTCACAGAAGTGTGATGCTAACCAGCGACTGAGTACGCTAACTTGCAGTGGAGGAATCGGGGGACATCACGACGTAAGTTATATCTTCTCCTTAGCATATAACACAACACTACGCTATTTGAGCTGGACATTCTTTTTTGCTGTTTGAAGGGTCTTATCTTTTTGGCTGTTTGCATACTGCGGCGGCGGCGTCGGCCTAGTCTGCCTGTGCTAAGGACATCTCTTCTTTCCCTTGCTAGCTCTGAGTGAAGACGACAATAGCAGATGCGCGTGCTTCATCTCATCTTTTTTGCAATATTGTTGTCTTAGCGAGTCGCAAATTCCTCCTCTCCCTCACCCTCTCCACCACCCACATTCCATCCACACCAGCGACAGCAACAGCACATAACGTACCAACTTGCCTACATCAACCTCCAGTCGCGCATATACGCCTCCCTCAAGCCACCCACAAACCTACATACCACCTCCGCCGCTCCTCTCCCCATCTCCGCAACTCACCCCACCACCTACGTACACCCACACACCACCTCCGTCCGCCTCGCACCACCCAGCTAGGCGACCATGGACCCCAACGCGGTCCTCACGAACACGTCGGTGACGTCGACGACGGCGACGACCCACGCCGGCAACACCACACAGAATGTGTCGGTGTTCCAGAGCGCGGCGACTACAACACAGATTGTGGAGACGGTCGAGGTCACCACGGTCACCCATACGACTACAAAGGTCACCAAGGTCATGACTACAACGATGAGATAAGGGATTTGGGTGCCAGGGTGGAGAGTGGAGATACGTTTTGGGGGTTTGGAAAGTAGATGTATTCATTATATACACTACAGAACTGGAGTTTGAGGAGTTGAACTGGCGACGTCGGTTCTTGGGGGACTGTCTGCTTTGGTAGCAACAGCGGCCAATTGGTCGACTGTAGCCTGTGTCGCGTCGGTTGTGGTTGGTAGAGGGACTGGTGGGGTAGAGGTTGTGTTTGTTGATGGCGTTCTTGCGTGGTGGCCTTCATCTTCTTCATCACGGTCTATGGACTCTTCCCACTCCACGTCATCTTCTGCTGAGCTGGAAGCGTTTGCGCCTTCGGGTTTGCGGGCATGATAGAAGAATCTACGTAATTAGCAACTTTCGCTTCATAATGGCGACGTGGTGATGTCCACTTACACATCAGCATAGAAATGTCGGTCTTTCCTCTTGGCTTCCGCTCTGCACTCTGATAGAAAGACTTCCACTTCCTCCCTCGACCATTTCAGCACGCGTGTGAAGAGCCCTAGTGAACTGCTCGGCAGCCAGTCCATCAGATCCTCATAAACAAAGCGACCTAGGAGCTTGAACCTCGCGCCTTTTGCCCACTTCCCTACAGGCCACTTGTAGTTCTTGTAGTTGATACTCTTGAAGCCGGCATTGCGAATCTGCGGCGTGAAGTGCCTTGGACTAGTGCCATCGAGACCTATCTTCTTTGCGGCGTCGAGGAAGTACTCTGACCAGCGGATTAGAGGTGAGTTCTCTGCAGTCACATCCGGATCCATGCATCTGATGGGGAAGGCAAGGTCTTGGCACTCGAGATAGCCTCCTGGTTTGAGGTTGGCGTACGCCTGCGCGAAGAAACGGTCCCAGTCCTTGATAGCTGCGACCATAGCCCGAGTATGGATATAATCGAATTGATCATGGAAAATCCAGTCTTGCTCGCAGTCATCGATTAGAAATTCACAGTTTGGAGGCACTTGAGCGGGTTGTATGGGGCTCAGATCCGTGCCAAGGACGCGAGCAGACGGATGCTCATCAGCGAACTCAATAGACCAGATGCCAGTCCCACATCCCACGTCGAGCACGTTTTGCACATCTTTGGGGATAGGCGCTCGATAAAGTTTGCCGTCGAGTGTGAGTCTGAAAGCGTGGTGCTGTAGATCCAATCGGTCCGCTTCCACCTAGTGTCGGCATCAGCAACAACAATGCTACTCCCACCGATAGTTGCACACCTCATCATTGGGTACAGGATACTGTCCCTCGGCATACGCGTGATACCGTCTGCCATTCTCGTAGCGAAAGTTGAACACCGAAGACGTCGCCGACATGGTGTAAGAAGACTGGTTGTCACCGTAGGCAGAATCACCAAAGTTGGAGTCGCGCTCGTCGCTCTGTCCTTCTGTATCTTCACTCTATTGTGACAGCTGTCAGTCGGGCGAGCTAATACAGCCAAGGTTTGGAACAGGGAACGCACGTCGATTTCGAGCGACGGACCGGAGCTGCTAGCCCCTTCAGCAGTAGAATCATCATGGGCGCTCCCGTTAGTGTCTGTCGAGCTGCTCGAGGCTGACATGTTGTTTTTGTCTTTTCTGGGGTGGAGAGGGGCAACGGCGGAGCGGTCATACTGGTGGCCTTGGGCTTCCTAACAGCGCTTTAGATGGATTGTGCGGTATCCAGCTCATTGGTAACCCAAGCGCAGACGATCAATGCTGCGTTGTTAGGTTCGCGTTTTTCAGGCGCCCCGGCCAATCGCATCCGGTGGATGTGTCGTCGGACGGAAGTTCCCAGGCCTTGCCATGTGCCGCGTCTTATTCATGGAGTATCTTGCAGGAATGGCACGTGGGATGGCGTGCATATTCCTTGGAGTTACCCCGTCGGAGTTGGCGAAGGCGGTGTCGGCGTACCCCGAGCGTATAATGGCCGCGCTATCCATACATGCCTCCGAAGACCAACATCCGCGAGAGTGTTCTGGGGATTTTGAGTGTTTAGTTGATTGCACGCGCAAACATGTGATCGAATTCCGCTGCAATCGGCTGCGGCCAGATACGACTGTAGCATCGGACTTGAGCCTTGAGCGGTGGGTGGTGCAGGACGGGCTGCCGGGCGTAATCCCCGTGTTGGTGGCCGGCTGCGATTAGCCGACGTCGTCAGTGGCTGCTGCATGTCGCATCGAGCCGAATCCAGCATGTGACGATGGCTTCTATGTTGAAGATGGTGTTTTTAGAGACACAATGATCAGTATGGCGAGGTTTGTAGTTGGAAGACAGCAGATTGCCGTCGAACCAGCGCCAAGATGTCGCGCTCGCGTCTCCACCCGCAAGGGGCGCCGATCAACGGCGGCCCTTCAACCGCTGCAAGAGCGTTAGGCATTTCCCGTCGCTAATCGACTTCGCGTTGTCGCTATTGCATCAAACCACCAGGTTCCAGGAAAATAGATCGCCGTAGCGTGGGTTGCAGCTTCCCCTTCTGAGCCCGTACAGGTCGCGCTCCATCGCGGATTCTCGACACGACATCCGAGACGCGTCTTCTTCGGCATCCGGGTCGGTCTGCGCGGAGTCTGCCTGCCACTCCGCAACTTACTCCACCCACAGCTGGATTCAATTCATCCCTCGCTATCCGATTAGATCGCGACTAGTCTAGTTCGAGTTTGGGGTTGCGCCTGCCCATGCGTCTTCACGTCACCAACCCGGCATTTGCAATGTCGCAACATTATCAAAACAGCTGGCGCCCTCGGCAACAGAACCGCGACTACAGAGCGCCCAAAGTGAGCAAGTGGCTGGATGAGAAACAGAAGGAAGACGACCAGATAGCTCCGGATGGCGTTTCCGGATCCGCCAGCCATCTCGAACGGTGGGCTCTAATGACAGCGGACATGCCAGAGCACCCTCCTAAGCGTGCCAAAGCGCGAGATATGGAGGAAGAGATCCGCGATCGCATTCACCGAAGATATCAGGGTCCAAAGCACCTTCCACCAGCGACTTCCCAGGACGACCCTGAGCCGATGGACGATCGCATGGTGATCGATCTTACAGGCGATGATGACGTACAGCCCCAAGCCCTCGTACCCAAAACGACCACAAAGCGTCCCCGCTCACCATTTCCGGTTCCCGACACACCGCGCGTCAATCTCAGTAGTGTAAGCTATGTCCAGACCGTCAAACGCCGTCGGTCAAGATCACCATCGCCCAAGAGATCTGCTTACTCTGCGTTCAGCGCTCGAACATGCGGTACAAAGGCGATGAGCATAGCAGAGTCTGACGAGGACTATGACTATTATCAGTCGAGTGAGTGGAGCTTCCCGAGTAGTGAAGATGACGATGAAGAGATGGAATGATGGGGTTGGATGAAGCGCGCAGAATACGATCACGAGCAAGCCGTTCAGCAGCCGATGGTTGGATGAAGGCAAGAGGGAAGGGGTTCGAGGGGCGTTGCACCGAAGAGATTGGATCAAGCAGTGAGTCTCATCCACACTGAACATGTCAACACAGTATCACTGCTAAACCTCAATGTTGTTCACATGCAGATTTAACAACACGTGTACATTAGACGTTAAAGAATTCTACCACGGCCGTCATGCCAATATGTACTGGGTCGCAGTGCGTGAGTATTGTTGCTCGAGTTGACAAATTAATAAATAGACATTAGATTCCTCAACACATCGTTCAACTTCTGCTCAGCCCTTGAAGCTGCGAGGCGCTGTTGAAATGGATCTTGGCTTAGTCGCGTTCGTGCTCAAGGTCGAGACCCCTCCGACAGGTCCAACACCTGGCAATGGTTGGAAGGCAGCCTCATCGGGCCAGTTACCCAGTGAAGCCGGGTCGCCACCAATACGAACCCACTTCGCATGCGAGGGCGTAGGCCCATCCAGAACGAACATCCTGTACCAGCCTACAGGAGCGATGTATGGCCCCTTCGGCGCCTTGACGGTGCATGATCGACCTGAGCATGACACGCTTGGGAACAAGATGCGTGCGCCCATCGAACTTCCATGGGTACTGGACTCGGAACCAAGCAGCGAGACCTTGATCGCGCCACCGGAGGATGAAGTCACAGTGAACGAGTAGTCTGCCTCCCAGATCCAATCGACTTGTGGCAAGTCGAACGTAGGCTGCGCTGCGCCGGAGAGCAGATAAGGCGGAAGGAAGACCTCCAGACGGTGCTCCTGAGGATGCTTGCCCTGATCTTGCGGGTCGGAGCCCGAGACCAGTACTCTTCCGTCATCCATGATGACAGCCTCGGAGTGGTACATACGTGCGATAGTAGTGTTGGCCATGACGCTCATTCGCTTGCCTCGCGGCTTCCTGGAATCGTACAAGACAGCATTTAAGTTCGCCTGGTCTGCAAGACCAAAGCCTGCTTGTCCAATCTCGGCTCCGTTCAAGATCAGATAGGTACCATCTGGTAGTGTTGCCATACAGGAGATGACACGTCGAGAAGGCATCCGCTCGAGACTCCATTGGGCATTGGCAGTATCTGGTTCGATGCTGACGCAGTTGTCAAGTCCCACGTTTGGCTGAGCTGATGCTCCACCGCAAATGAGGACCTCCAATGGCGCACTGTAAGGGTAGTACTGCGGAAGAAGGACTTGGGTACCCTCAAAGGGGTACGTGCGGCCTCCTGTGGGATCGTTGACGGCAGCTGGCACCTTTGGCAGGATCTTGACCGTGTCTAGGCTGCGTTCATCGAGGATGCGTGCTTCGTTGTAGTACTGGATGAAGATACCACCGGATGGTAGCACGACCAAAAATGGGTACAGATTGTATGGGTCGGTATCTCTCAGGTACTGCGCTTCATACACAGGTCCGACCGTGGGCAAGATCTCCATGTTAGGCACTGGCGGGCCGTTCGAGCCATCTTGTCCGCCGACGATGAGCATAGATCCGTTAGCCATGACCATTCCTGTTGGGTACCAGCGACCTCTTTGGAGCTTAACCGTGTTGACATCCTCCTGCCAGTTGTTGGTACCGTTGACACCGGCCGAACCGTCTGGCCAGTAGATGCGGACGCCGAACAGGGAGTCTGTCGACCATCCACCAATGTTGATCTGTCGGCCGGCGCGATCCGGTAGAGTCAGACCTGCAGCACAGAAGATATCCGTCTTGATGCCGGTCAGCTCACGGAAGGCGTGGAAGATGTCACCACCAATCGAAGGGTCGAACTCATATGCACCAGTCGTGTTCGGCTCGCCTGTTCCGTGCTTCTCGAGGAAGGAGACCTTGCCGTTGACACCAGGCTGCGCGATCAGAGGAATGATAGGACCGCCGACCAGGAACTCGTAGCGTCCTGCTGCGGTGCCTTTAGGGTACTCCCAGACGTACAATGGGTCGCCTTCCCACTTGTACCAGCTGAGTCGGTTACCTGCGCCACAGAGCGCCTCAGGGTCTCCTGGGCAAGCAATGCTGCATTCAGACTCTGGAGCGGGTTTTGAGCCAATCTTCTCAATACCATCTAGGTCACCGCAGTAGCACTCTTCGCCGTACTCCATTCCGGCGGCCATGTAACCGAAGGCTTGGCATCGACTCAGACACCATTCCGGTGAGTTACCAGTCTGGTTCAACAGCTTGTGCGGGAAGACTTGGTTGCCGATGTCGGTAATGCATCCTTGGTATTGCCAGTCGCTCACGTTCTGGGTGGGTGTTGGGACTTTGACGACCTTCAATGGATCTTGGCTTGAGTAGATGCTCATTCGGTTGGGGCCACCACACGTCTCGGCTTGGTTACCAGCACACTTTGTGTTGCACTCCGACTCGGAAGAAGCAGGCTTGCCGCCCATTCGCACCTACATGGGTTAGTACTAGAAGACATTGGAAATTTGGGATATACTAACGGCATTGTCACAAAAGCATTGGTAGCTGTACTCCATGGCTGCAATCTCATAGCCAGCTTTCGCGCATATACTGGTGCATGACGCAACGGTCATCTTCTGATCATCGGGTTGTTGGTAGTTGACGATGCGGAATCCGGGTCCATCGACATAGCAGCCTTTGTACTCGAAGCCTTCTGGGAGCCCAGTAGCAATGGGCGCTGCGCTGGATGCTCCAGTAGCAGATGCTGTTGCAGAAGCGGTAGACGTAGCAGTGGCCGAGGTGGACGATTCACCACCCGTGTAGAAACGGAAAAATGTCAAGCGATCGGGACCGCCGCACATCTCTGTCTGGTTGCCATTGCATGCCATGTTGCATCCCTTCTCGCCGTCAGGTGCAGGACCGCCATTGGCTCGAATCTGGTTGTCACAGAAACACTCGCCGGCATACTCAGTACCAGCCAGGACGAAACCTCCAGCTCGGCATGCAGCCTTGCACTTGTCGTTGGTCATGCCACCAGTCAC